CTTGTATGTGGGATTATGTGGGGAACTAGTTGCTCGCTTATCTGTATCCGCTGTAGTCAAATGGTAAAAAAATTTACGCATCTACATAATAGGCGTATTCATACAAAGCTTTACTTTGTTTGTTCTTCATCATGACAACCACAGAATTTCAGATATTCACATATAATTGGTTGCTAATCATAAAAACAAATGACTCTGCTGGTTTTTTGAAGTCGATTCGTTGTCGTTCAGTTTCTTGCAAATGGATCAGTCCAGATATGTCTGTTCTGTTCATAATCACTTCCAGATTCCATGTTATTTCCGAAAATACCTGTGTTATTCTGGTTGACTATAATGACACGACTATCGCTGATCATTATGTGAAGAAATACGAAAGCTTTCGATCGTTCTTACGAATGACTTTCTGAAACAGTTCAGACTCGTTTGGTAGTGGGTGTACTCATGGCAATTTTTCTTACATGTTTGTTGATGATGTTTTTTTGTTGTTGATGTACACCATTCTCCTGGCAAGCATTTGTTGTAGACACCGAAAGCAATAATATGAGCCTCATATTCATGTATTCTGCAGAATAAAAATAGATTATTGTAATTGAAGGTTCTGTTCTAAAGCAAAGGTAGTATTATTTCTTATTTCAAACTTACTGGAGTTTGTAACTCCAAGTCCCACTGCCATTCATATACGGCCATCTTCGCAATCACAGACGCAAATTACAAGTGGTGATATTGACCTAGACTATAGAGAAAAAATGATGAAGTGAACAAGATTTGTCTTCTTGTATCCTCTATGTACCGTCTCCTTGAAAATACACAAGCTTTGCTTCGCTGGCAAGGTGTCTTAACGATCGTGCTCCCATAAACATAGCAATACAATCACCAAGATGGAACACGCTCGAAAAAAAAACTTTTCAGACAATATGTATCCTTCAAAAAAATGCTGTTTAATGCTACCTCGCCAAGAAAGTGTAGTCCGATAAAAAAGGATTTGATAGCAAGCACGTCAAGGTATTCATGTGTTGTATGCGGCAACATGATCGATGAGAAACTGATGGCTCGTTCGTCCGCAAGCGCTGCTCATAATGCAATTTTTCTGGCAATGCTCAAGAACAACACCACGATCGCAAGTATTTGATGTTCTGTTTCAAAACTTTTAAGAAGAAATGAGCGATAGTTTGCATCAATCACTCGATTAAGCCGTAAGTCCCTCAAAAATTTAATCCGAAATCCTCATCTCGAAGGAAGATCTGAATCCTACGGGCGCAGTATCTTGTAGCGGAGATAGCAGTGAGTGGTGGGAATTTGACGAAAACGGCAGTGGTACTACTTATCTCAACGAAGGAGAGGCTCCTGCACACATTCTTCTTAACTTGAAGATGCGGTAGAGACGTTTTCAGCTAGTTTATCCAAGTATAATTGACTGAGAATCAGCTCTATATTTATCAGAACGACATTGTAATAACAGCCATGGATGTGAATCGTTATGTGAACAGCTATAGAAGTTCGGTCGTATTTGTCGCTGGAACATTCTGAAGGCAGCTCAAACATGGAGCAAGCCGAACAACCGGAGGAGGTGGTGGTTACGAGCCCGAAATCATTGTAGACTTCAAGAGACATTCAGACAGTAGTAGAAAAACCTTTCGTCCCTGTAGCAGCCGTTCAAATGATGGATCTTGTGGCTATACCGCTAATAGGACATGAGAATCCAGGATGTGTCAGAGCAAGGACGCCATCTGTGGGAAGCGATGATTTACGATTTAACGGGACGAGGATCACAGTCGGATTGAACCTACAGGAGCAGCATCACAAATGTCGGATCTATTTATGTGCCCGAGGATTCGGACTCCGATGATGAAGGCGCGGTCAAAAAAGCCGACCCTCTTCTACACCAATAATTCTTGGCCCAGAGTAAAAAGCTCCTGGAACTCTTCCATCTTTCCAGTTGTGACGACCTAGAGAGGTTCAACTCGATTCGTATGGGTGCGCCCCATTGCTAGAATATAGAGTCCCGGGTCTGGCGAAAAAGCAGCGTTGGGAAGGCCACAGGAAAAATTGGGTTTAAGGGACGCTAAGCAGTATGCGGGTGATGCGTTAGCCTGCGTTGCTGCACTCACCACCGGACTTCGCACACATGTAAAAAACTTTTGTCGATTGTTTGCGGTTCGTACAAAGGGTTTCCGGATACTAAGAGAGTGAGAAAGAAATTTGATGCTGTCTTATTAACCTCTAAAACAACTTTTTACAAGATGTTTCAAAAAACTGCAGCCGATTCTCAGTTGAGAAGCATGAAAGTAAAGTCTTGCAAAAAAAAACAACAAAGGGTGACTATGAGGTGAAGATCGAAATAAAGATGTTTACACGCATAAAGTTATAAAATTTTTGAAAAAAGGTCGTCAGGCGTGGAACAGCCGTAGGTGGAGCTTTTGATTCGAAAGGGTTTAGCCCCAAGTTCTGCGAAGTCCTGGCGGTCGATGCCAGAACTAAACTTTGCATACACACAGGGGTTATGCATTCGTCGAGACAGGTGTTGCAAGATGTGGTAATTATGGCATGCTGCTGCTTGAGAAAAGATTTTATAGCTGATATCAGGGTAGGATGGAAAAGGAGGGGCTTCTCCGGTCATTGCGCTTTTCCAAGCATTGAACATCCTAGTAGCTACAGTGTCCATGGATATCAGCGCCACTTTCGGGTGGAGATCAGGCAGTTCAATGCAAATTTCGGCTTCAACATCAAGTGGCTGATGGATTCGTGGCACTTAACCAAATACATCAACGACAACCTCCGAAATGTAAGGCTAGCGCCTCATAAAAAATATGGCAAAATTACTTTTTCGAGACAGCAAGATTGCGAAGCGCTAAAAAATGGAAAGATCTCACCAACACGCATCTATAATTCGCAATCGAAAAGAGGGGGGGGCGACAACGCTTGCAAAAACATTTTCGACGCATGTCTCTCCATGTTGCGGGAGTGCACCGATGGAACCAAGTATCTTCAGATACAACCTGCACCGGCCCAACGCAGTTTTGTAGGACCCTCTCATGGACTCGATGACAGAGTCTTCACACGAGCATTGCCGGCAAAAAGCGAAAACCCTCTCATACATTTTATATTGTGCGCCGGACTGTCCATAGTCCGGCGCACAATAAACTAAAACGGATTTTGCTGAAACCATCTTTCCAAACGGATCTTGCCAGGACTAGTCCACAGGAGGGACCAGCAATGAAAAGGCAAGAATTGGCTGCATCGGTATAATGTCCGAAGGAGATCTCTTTTGTGAGTCACAGTATCCCGCTGATTACGTAATCACATAGCAAAGTAAGCATTTAAACTACGAAGGATTTTTCAGCCACCAAAAACGTACTCCGCATATGAGACGCGTCAGTGTTGCATATGAACACCCTAACGTTAGCTTAGCGGAGATCGGATTATCACACAGGTAAAGGTTTCCACTGAAAGTACAACGAAAAAACATCGCAACTTGTACACACAACATCAGGAAGACATTTATGGCAAAAGGAGGTAACGAAACTCTACGCTTGCAGAGATGCGTCCCATCTTTTCCGCAGAAGCTCCAGTTGAAGAAGATAAGATGTTCCTCTCTTCCGTGATAATGACGACTATTACTACGACAAGATTACGCTAAAGGGTGTAAGATGAGAAGGGGGGATGACCTGTGATGCTGACGTACTTGTGCGCATCATAGACTGATGGAGCTTGCTGAGGTCTAAGGCAAGCAAACTAAATCTAAAGTAGGCGTTTTTAGAATACGAACATTGTGGCTACTAGGGAAGGAGATGATAATGCGGTTATGGATAAGGTTCATGTTGCTCTTCCAAGTTCCTCTCTTACCCATACTGTTACATTATCGTAAACATTCTATTCTATAGAGTTAGTACTACAAAGGACAAAAAAAATTATAGAGAAGAAAGTCACAGCAAAGAAGTGACCCTTCATTCGTCGCCATTTACATTAAATGATAGGTTTAACTAAAGGTTTTAGGACAGAGGATAAAAGCCCCACTTATCGCGCATGTAACTTATGGAACAACGTTTAAGAAAAAAGGACGACAGTCTATTCGGACACCGCCTTCAAGCATTCTTCCGATAAGAAAAGTGCACAACGCTTATTTGAGTAAATTTTTTTGCAGTTGCTGCCCAATCTTATCCTTTAGCAGCACAGTTACGATGTTTGTTATTAACACGTGAAAATGACTCAATATTCAGAGGAAAACCATTGAAGAAAACAAGTTTTCAGTGGCACAGTTGTTGTTGCTTATGTTATTTGTTCATTTCAAAGTATGAATCATTTTTCAGAAATGACATTGCTGTTGTACGAATGATATTTTATCTCCTCTCGTTGTTCGTTCATTTGATATCGTAAATTTTTCTACCTTTGCAGGCCTTCGCATTATAGGTGGGTGAAGGAGCTTACCTACACGAAAACTTGCTGCAATCTAGCTTTAGGGAGCGGCCATAGGTTGTCGGCAACGGTTGCCGAGGTTGCTGGAGTTGCCGCTTGAGAGCACATCAGACACAGAGGGGTCCTACAACGGCGGGCAACGCCGACAACCTCGACAACCGTTGCCGACAACCTATGGCCGCTCCCTAAAGCTAGATTGCAGCAAGTTTTCGTGTAGGTAAGCTCCTTCACCCACCTATAGGCCGTTCCCATAGGTCACGTGATCTTAAATTAGCATTGAACAGTTGATTGTAGCTGCTGTGCACACACTGATCTGATCTTGACCAAAAGCCTGGAATTTTGAGCTTTTCAATGCAAATCAAAAATTCTGAAAACATTTGGATACTATTCCAAAAAAATTCAGGAATCAGATTTCACATATGCTTCTTGTATGTAGAGAAAAGTTATGACGCTTCACCAATAGACGAGGAGAGTTTTAAATAGTAAACATGTTCCATCTAGTACATACAGTTATGTACAACCACATTTCAAACTTCTCCCAAGGCAGAAGAAAAATGGACAACTTTGTTAACATTTACGTGGTACATGGACGAAGAGCTTCTGCTTGTGCGCACGTCAGTTCCACGTACAGTCTGCAAAATTCCTGCTAACATCATCCTAAGGCTCGTGTGAAATAAAAAAAGTTTTTTTTTTTTTTGTAAAGTACTGTCATCTTTCTGACAAAAAAGAAAGCAGTACTCATAACAAAAGTAAAAAAAAGTTTCTTTTTCTTCATGTAAATGGTTTGAGAATAAAATCCTACTCTTTTAACTTGTCGTCATTTGATAGTTTTGAAAATGACGACAAACCTTCAATCAATGTCACAGAGTTCTTGCGTATTATCTCCGCATAGAATTCAGCAGAGGCTTTTGGCGTTCGCTGACGAGATGGCGATGAGACATCAACCTGAATTTCACGCCTCTTTTTGTCAGAAGTAAGCTTTGAACATAAACTAGTCAAATTGCGACGTCATATAAATCTGGTGTAAGGTAAATAAGTGAAGAAAAGTCTGGTTTTTTCTATAATACGAGGCTTATTGGAGAGCTGATAGTGTATTCTGATTGTAGAGGCGAAAGTGGTTTTGTTGAGTAATATTTTAATTCGAAATCTCATTGTTCATCATTTATCTTTACTCTTAATCTGAATTTTATTGCAAACTGACTCCGCATGGCACTCAAATTGTATGAGCCATTTTTACGAAAGGATAAAGAGAGCTAAAGCGAATGCAAATGTTTGGCAGAGTCGCACATCAAAAAAACACTTCATTTTCTAGGTAACGGAAAGACGCGGGTAAACATGTGCATTGAGATGAGACTAGAATGCTTGGTTTTTCTAAAGTTTCTGCAACTTTTAAAGACTACTTTTATAGAAAGCAAATGGCTTATCATGACAGATGTTCCACACCTGATCACATCTCTGTATAAAAATGAAAAGGACCCACCCTGTGCAATCCAAATAATTGGGAATAGCCATCTGACCACTCAAAGTTGTCCATTAGACTCCACACTGCATAACCGACAACATCGCAGCCATCCTCAAGCGCTACAATGGTACCGTTAGATTTACGTCGCTCCCACAACGTACGAGATCAATCACCTTGCGAAACAGCAGCGATGTGATCTCTTAGATACCTCATACGTGTCACATCGTGGAGCCCCTCACCAGGAGTGTCCATGCAACCGTTTTCCGTTATGAATACCTGGAAAATCCATCATTTTCTTGATCCAAAGAACATTAACGGCAATGTCCATCCGAGTGAATGTGGTGAGATTTTGATGCCACACAAAGCAAAGCCTTTCACTAATAAACCGCTTAAGTCTTGTTGCAATGAGAAGCGAGAAAATCGCTTCAGGATGTAGAAGAGGCAGTGGTAGCTCTGCCCATCAACGTGAGTAATCTGAAGATAACAAGTCCGAAATTGGTTGTTCTAACCCCGTTGTCGATGCTTTTGAGGTACCATTCTGCAAAGCTGGCTTCAACTTAGATTTACAGTACGGACTAAATTACCGATCGGTTTATATCACTGAGGAACTACGGTGGGAAGCTCTTAGCATATGGCGTCATTGTGTGATAGGCCGTTTAGAAATAAAAATTCAAAGTATCCTGAAAATTGTGCAACAAGGTCTTCACTCGACTTCGCTAACTTTTTGAAAGTTTTTGAAGATTTTCAAGAACTAAATTTGCATGGAACATCGAAAAAACGGTTGTTACTGCGTATTCGACATAGCTTATAAAAAGCACTGCAGTGAAGCACCAACTTCCAAAAAAGCACCATTTTTATGTTTGAAATCAGCTATCAAACAAACATAAATTTCCCAGCTTACTTGAATTTCTTTCAAAGGTAAAATGTGCTAATTAATGACTCAAAACTCTCTTTGAAATTCCTGCCGTAAATCTATATCAATGAAGAGAGTTTGCTTTTTATTCCTACTTTAATCAAAGTTCAAGGTAGCTCTAGAGGTTGGTTATGACAGTGTCGAAAGACAAAAAGTAACATAGTTATAATCGATAAAACTTATGAACATATTTGAACACATGAACACTGTATATAAGCAAATAATTATGATCATCAGATTTCAGGCATTTCCGTTCACCTTAAGGCCTACTTTCGGAGTCATTATTTTTAGAGAACCCATGTTGATAGGTGGAGCCCCCATTACCGTTTCTATAATTCCTTCTGATAAAATTCCTTGCTTCGGAATCCATTTTTGGCAGCGCTACTTGGACGATTTACTTAGGGAAGCAGTCACGGTGTTATACAACAACAAGATCATACCACCTTCAATTTAGTGGACGATGTTATCGAGCATTATGTTACCTCAGGGTTACCGTAACGCTCGCGAAGTTCATTCAACACAGCGCGAAGACCAGATGGATGGTTGCTTATCCAGGAATTCTTGTCACCAACTCTTAAATCGATGTGATGAGTAGCTCAAAGTTCGGAGTATTCACTAGATCTCTATTGAATGTAGGTAATAACTGGGTCCGTATCAATTGATACCCGACCAGCCGCTTGCACCTGAGCTGGGTGGTAACTAGCGCGCCGCGGCCTTAATTGCGCTCTCTCTCTTCTCTAATTTCTCTCTCGATTAGAATCTCCATCACCACGCTTTGAGGTGCGAAAAGACCTAGATTGCATGCCATTGCAGGCCACAAGAAAATCATTTGATCTACCAACATCGATGCGGTATCTAGGTCATTGATATGGGACAATTTCGTCCCATACGCAATCATATAAATGCTGAGGCGTATCAAATCAACAGACATGAAGGACCAGTTGTATCTTTTTCAACAAGCTTAATTGAATCACTACGCCAGTTTGACTATTACGCAGGTAAGTCTAAATTTTCTGGCTTTGATATAAAAGCATTATTTAGGAATTTCGAGAAGAACTTCAAACAAGCGCACTGGGCTTTTCCACAAGCACAGTTCCAGGGTTGCGCCTTTCACTTGGCGCAATCCTGGAACAGGATGGCAAAACAATCCTGTTCCAGGATTGCAAACCTGGGGCTAAGACAATTTATACGGGGGCCAAAAAATTAGGAGCGTAATAAAGTAGTGGAACACAATAAAGGGGGTAGTCTTTTTGCCAAAAAACCTTACTGAAAGAGTGCCGGCATTGAACTTTCCTCCAGTGAGGGGTGAATAGGAGACATGTTTCGTATCTGCCCTGTAAAAAGAAACATGGTTTCACGGGGTTTATCGCGATATGTGGCGTAAATTCGATATTGATGAATTGAGGACGACAAACGCGGCGGAGGCGTCTCATAAGTAAGTGATAAAGAAATTCATGATTCAAAATTAAGAATTCAAGATTTTTTATAGGAAACTTCGTGAATTGTTAGCAAGAAAAACGCATCCTCCCTTTGAGGAACTCATCGAATGTTTGCAGAGAATAACCATCGTCGCACTAGGAACACTATTGTACATACAAGAGGTTAGTTAATCAAATTCTACTAAAAATTTTTACATTACGACTTTTTAGAATCCGCACAGCACAAAACCTTTGCGAAGACGAGATGTCCGTCGCCGCCAAAGAATAGCTGCCGCTATGGAAAGCTTCAAAGAAGAGTATCGCTCAGGAAATCGCATCAGCACAGCGACTATCAACTCATACTACATGGCAATGTCTGAGTTTGTAACCGAAAAAACTATATAATTTGCATGTTTTCGTTGTTTTGGCTAAATTAGAGCCATCCAAAACTAGGTTTTGATTTATTTTGGAACTATTATCTGATTTTTTGCATGTAGTTTTGAATTCATGCACTGTTCAGTCAAATGATAATAAAAAATTTCATAGTAATTGTAGTTTGATTTGTTATCTGCCATCTGAAGTGTGAAGTGCGGTCTAGGTCTTCTCGCACCTCTTCTCGCACCTCAGAGCGCGATGACGAGAGATTGTAATGGAGAGAGATTTAGAAGGCGAGAGGGACTGCAGCGCAGCGCAGCGCAATTAACGCTGCGTCGCACCTTGCTAATTAACACCCGGCGCGGCTGCAAGCGGCTGGCCGGGTACCAATCGACCGCCTCCCGTAATAACTGCTTTACCTTCTGCCATCACATCACATATGATTCAAGAAAAAAGTTATAACCTACGGCATGTCCTCGTTGCTCAGCCAGAATATGCCATCAACGTCGTAGTCAATCCTTTTTTGAACACTGAAACAAAAAATATTGATTATGATGCATGAAACGGCAGAGATCACTCTGAGATCTAATCAAAGGATATGCGAACTACAAACATACTCTTGTTGTTCTTCTGGCGCAAATCTTCGAACAATGTTGGAGTAATAGTAGTTTATTCCAAGAAAGTCAAATGAACCTAAATGATATGCAGTACTGATGTGGAGGTAACCAACAAAGCTTAATTGTACCCATCAATAACTCTCTCTCGAGACCGCTGAAGTAAGGAAGGCGAGTGGTGGTTCTACCTTCTTCTACTGACTTTTGATTTACTGCAGCTCGCATGGCTGGTGGATAGTCTCCTTGAATGTACACTTTTTTTCTAACTAGGTAATCTTATTTCACTTTCGGAGGAGAGACAAGAATTTATTCAGAAGTTTTGATGGTTTCTCACGAATTCAAGTAAGACTGCGTTCATACTGATTTCGTAATCCGGGAACAGTCCCAGCACAACGCTCACTTTGAGCGCTGTGCTGGAACTGTTCCCGAACTTCGGGATCAGTATGAACGCAGCCTAAGACTCAACGCAACCCAGTAAGACTCCGCCAAATGATAAGATGTAATAAGGTAAGAGTTCGTAGAGAATTTGTTTAAAAATTTAGTACATACTCTGATTTCACGGAGGTAGTTTGCTTTTTACCACGCATACACGGATAAGTAAAAGGTGATTAGTGGTGTTATTATAGAAGGCACAATCAAAATCATTCCAACCTTCATAAAAGGGATGAATGAACCATCGCATAGTCCAATCGCGAGCTTGCTCAGCAAATTCCGTCTCGGCTTCACTTGCTGGTTCTAACCATGTGTGTACATTCGTAATGCCAACTTTCCCATCTCAAAGCAAGTTAATTTATTAAAATGGCCTGCAGTATTGGGCTATAGGCAATACGGCAATAATCAAACGATTTTATGAATAGCATATGCAGCGAAGAAATGCCGCAGCTTTTATTGTATATAAGGTCGTAAAACGAGTTTCCTTCTTGATTGGAAAAACCTTGTAACTCTACGCATTCTTAAATTTTCCAAAATTCTTTCAAATAATTTTAGCAGATTTCCAACTCGCGTAATTGAGAAGCTTAAACTTCCAAACTGCCTCCATATCAGCACTGAGCTCTTTAATTCTGTAAAACATTTGGAATCTAGAAAAGAAGTATGAGAAAATATTCAAAGAAATAGAAAAAAATATCAGAATCCATGTTCGACTATCCATGAATCTTGGCATAGTTTGAATCTTCTGATTAGTTTCTTTAGCAGCGTCCAAGATTGGTACAGATATTTATTCCACAGTGTACAGACTGATGTTTCGGCAAACTCGCCTTCTTCAGAGTCTGAAAAGTCGAAAACACATAAGTGAACTATCCGATCAAACACCTTATCGACTACAGAAAAAAAAAGCCCAACCCTCCAGATAAGCAACAGTATCAACCAAAACGCAAGATTAAGCCAGTGCTCACCTTAAAAGATGATAGATTTGGTGGGTGCAGACCACTTATGCCAAAAACTGTACTGCATTACTTATATATTAATCTAGTGACCCGGTCCTGACCTGACCTCATTATTCAAAAGCCACAAAGGCTCTGATAAGGTGACAGCTCGTTAGTAATGGCTAGGCACTCATCCTTCCGGTTGATTTTTGGATTTTGGGCGGCTATCCAAAACGCTTCGAGTGTCTTGCGCGCTAGGATTTCGGGTTCACGCGCCAGGATTCGAACCTGCACTCCCACCTCCGCGTCGTCATGGCTGAGCCTGCGATGCATGCCTAACGGAGTAGCTACATTGCCCTTGCTGAGACCATCTAAGTGTTCTTCTTGCCGAAACGTCAGTCTGTATACTGTGGAATAAATATCTGTACCAATCTTGGACGCTGCTAAAGAAACTAATCAGAAAAAAATATGTTTCAAGTAAAGTCACAAAATTACTTTTAGATGTATTTATCACAACCCATGTCAGGAGGAAATTATGGCAGTGGAAAGTCCTCTTTCTCTTCCATAGAGAAGCCAAACATAAGACTGCCACAATTTCCAAAGTGTTTTGGAATGGGACGAAGAAAGTGTAACAAAATATGTTACGACCTAATATGTAACGGATTGAAGTAGAAACAACTTGGTACTACAAAAAACAAGTTTTCGACAATTTCCATCTCCCGCCCTTTCTTTCACCAAACGATGCATTCGAGTTTTTTCTGCTTTGAGCAAGATCTTATTTTGCTGTATCGATGCAATCTGTCACTAAACTATCACAATCAGTACATCTGCGCTACGACATCCCTTGGAGCATTTTCGTGCTTAAAGGCAGTGTCCGGGCAAAAACTCGATTTTGAGATTTTGTGCTTATACGGGCCTATTCGCCGTGCTGAATACGAAAATCCACATTGGAAAGCGCGGAAACGGCTAAAAAGGGCTCCAACGCAGGAGGGAAATCAGAAGTAGGCGGGGTCTTCCCCACTGTGAATTTCGAGGTCCCGGCTTCTGAAGCGACTTTCTCAATTCCGCTAGCGCCCCGAAATCTCCACAGGCCAGGTGCAAATGCATGACTTGAAATCGGGACCGAGAAGATCGCTCCGGGAGCTTGTAGCGTAAATCCGCAGTGGGGAAGACCCCGCCCACTTCTGATTTCCCTCCTGCGTTAGAGTTCTTTTCCGCCGTTTTCGCGCTTTCTAATGTGGATTTTCGGATTCACCATAGTGAATAGGACCGGATAAGCACAAATTCTCAAAATCGACTTTTTGCCCGGACACTGCCTTTAAAGGTCGCAGCTAATTGGTCAGATTTGTCCACATACATACATCTTTTTACACTCTCAAATTTTTTGCACAAACCTTCACATTTTGGTTCCCTGCTCCAGCCATAAGTCAAAAGTTAAGTGTGGAAGAAGATGCAGAGTCACGCATTTTACAATGAAATCTTATGATCCAACTTTGCACTGTCTTCGGGTCTATAGTATTTTTCATGAGCAGAGTTGTACGATCAATGGTTCAACTGAATCTCGAGAGATGCTCACCTGAATGCCCTCGGAAAAGGCTGTGATAAGCCCGATAGGCGTGCGCATGTGCAAGAATCATATGATGTCCAGCTAAATACTGTGACCATGCGCAATGCTCCTAAACCGTTGCAGTCAAAAAAGCCGTCGGGGTGTAAAAAGTAGATTCTATACGTGAGTCTGACCTAGCTAGGGATAGTATTTGAACGATAATAAAGTAAGTTCATAAATTAAGTGGAAATGAGGAAGCCTAAATGAAATCAAGTTTGTAGTCAATGATGGAATCGGGATATTGTGTTGTTATGTAATTTTGGGTACCGTACTGGAGGTATCGAAGAAATTTGCTTACATTTCCGTTCCCAAATCAAGAAATAGGCATTATCAATGCGCACAGATATCAATCTCTGTATTCTCACCAACTCATTGAATTACTAGTAGTTTGTTTCAAAAGCACTCGTTTTTCAAGCTTATTTTCAATTCATCATAACTTTTTTCAGAGTTGATTATTGCGAGTGCAACAAACTGTATAACTATCTATCAGTGGCGTACCCAGGATTTCCGCTCGGGGGGGGGGGGGGGGTGCGTGACAAAACATTTTTCGGATGAAGGTGCGTGGCGTTAGCCATGCACTCCGAAAATTTTTTTGGGATGCTTTCCAAAATTTTTGCGGTCCCCTGACCCCAAAATTTCAGAAAAAGGGGGGGTGGCGGCAGCCACGCCCCCCGAAAATTTTTTTTACAAGCCTAATTTGAATTTTTCAAATTTTTTAAAAATTATTTTAATTATTTATCAGTAAAAACAAGTCGCTTGCACATTTTTATACCCCCCCCCGCCCCCTCGGTACGCCACTGCTATCTATAAATCTTTAGCAATTCTATGCATACTCAAAAGTTATCGCAGCGACTATGAGAAAGAATTTCTAGCCCGTAGATCGCCAAACACTCTTTTTTGGAAGCCCTAATTCAATGAACCATTCAATCCGGGCTATAATAAGATGGCACAAACTCTGCTCATTGTGTAGCCAGTAATCGATTGAACAGCAATAACGATTAATTTACCAAACTTTCACATAAAATTCTTGCAAGAAATCCAAAATAAATTGCTCCTCTCGAAATGGCGAGAAATGCACTTCAACAAAACCTTGTTTTTCTCGCTGTTGAGAATAGATGAAATTTTTTTCAAATTTTGCATGTAGAACGGACTAAGATCTTTCTTGTTAACAAAGCAGGAGTTGCAAAATAGCATTGCTCTTACAATTTCTATGCGACTTAAAGGACTACAGCGGCATTTATGTTTATGCTGAGAAACTTCAGGCTCAAGTATTTTTAAAATCATATTTCGATAAGCAGCATTACTTAACAGGAATTTCCAATAGAATAATACACAAAAACAATGTCGTTTGCGTGCGGAGATTATGGAGTTAAAATAAAGAAAAGAATTTAGGCCTGCTTTGTTGTCCTTTTCGGTAAGAATTTGCAGACTGAACAGATCTTTATTAAAAGATCTAAATGAAAAAGATCTTTCAGATGCTAAAAGCAGCGATACTAGAAAATGGCATGGAGCACTTTGAATATGTCGTATTGTTGCCTTTCTTGCTGTTTTCGAGTGGACCCAGCTCCTCCCGCTAAACTTCAACTACCACAGAAAAACGGACTTTGCGATTGTAAAATTGGAGATGCTCAAATGAGTAAGGTTAAACAAGAAGAACAAGTCTCGCTAAAAGCGTGAAGATGGGAAACAAGCGCTGTAAAATCATACCTGAAAACCTCCAGGCGCATGTTCTTCAAAAATGCCGCAGTATCCGAAACTTACTTGAACATAGGGCTCATTTATGGTTATCCATGTTTTCACCTAGAATTAAAACATCATGCAAAGTAGTAAATTATGTATAAATTCTCCATCTTTGATCTTTGGTTTTAGTTGAAAAATGATTTTAACGATTTCTCTCAATTTCCCTTAGTGTTCCTAGTGAAGTGAACGCAGCCGTAAGCGGAACACAAAAGCGTAAGCCATGTTATGTACAACCGGTATATATTTGTCTACACTTACTTGCACTTCTGAATGCATTGGAGAAAATGTGAATGGCGGGGAAACTTTCAGTTTGTTGTTAGCTTTCTAAGAAGTTGGAATAAGAAAATGGATGTTATCATTAAACTTAGGGGTAGAGGCGAAACAGGATCATTAGTGTATAGATTAATTTCAGCTTGACAATAACATGTGCGCTACATGTTGAGCCAAAACTATCGTTCAGAATGCTCTACCGTGATTTTTTCGTTCTCAGCTATGCTACTTCCATTTCCGTACCTTTTCCCTCCATTGCTAACCTAGCAAATTGACGGCCAAAGGGTATAGGGCTCTGCGTGATCGCGAAGGTTGGTGAGTCTGCGGCCATTGACACAGGATGTCACAAGGCCTCAAACCAGTTTAGGAACCCTGTACTTCTCAAAATCGCTCTAGGTAATTGGAAGCTAACATTTGATGATAGAAAGAGAGGGAAAACTCAAGGCGCCAATGGCCGCAGACTCACCGACTTTCGCGATTAGGCAGGGATCTATACATCATTGAAAAACAATGAAGTGGCAGTATAGTGTCGAAAATTACAAAGCTTAATGGCGCATAGTTCTTAGAAATCGTTTCACCTCTCTATGTCTTTCGTGGTCATCGCAAAGAGGCTGCAAAGCGCGAAATTTTAATTGCAACAGATCATCTTTTCTCCTTCAATAAACTTCTTGTCTGGTTCTTTATATATCCGGTATGGAAGCATTTGGTCACTATTTTGATTTGATCTGACAGTCAGTTGTAAGACTGCTGGACCTTAATTGGAACGCCATTGAAATGGCAATAAAAAATAATAAAAAATAATATGCAACAATGGGATGCACATTACTTTTCAAAAGGCAGCAAGATTTTTTATGCCGGTTGTTTGAGTCCAAACTGTACTTATGTTGTGTGATCTTTTTTGGAATCGACTGTTTACGTAAATAAATAAATAAATAAATAAATAAAAGAATAAACTGTTAATTAAAGTTTTCTTGAGCTGTTTCCATACTGCATAGATTCGCATCCAACGCGGCGTTTGGACAGATAATCCATGTCTTTTCGTGACGCTCAAAGATATGGACGCTCGAATCCGTCAAAAACCTCTCTTTGAGGTATCCTTAAGAAGCTTAAATGAGTATTCCGGCGTTAGCTTTGTCGAAAGTAAGCTTATGCACGTTTAATAGTAGGCGTTCCGCTATCTGATCGAAAACTCTTTTAATCGTTACTATTATGTACATTAGTTTCCAAGGGATATTCATAGCAGTATAAGGCCCCGGGCAGACTTCACGCGATTTGATCGTCGCGACTGAATCGCGACGAGACAACTGTTACAACATCATTCCATGCCGGTCAACTTGCATTTCGGTTGTGATACTTTTCCAGCCCGAACTTTTTGAATGTGAAATGAAAATGAATGGAAATCTTGGCGATTAGATCGCGACGATTGAGTCGCGTGAAGTCTGACCGGGGCCTAAAGCACCTTGTCACCATATTCTCTGAAGCAGAATACAGCATAGAAACGAAACCATCTGATGATATCCCTGTTCAGCCACCCACCGAGATCTTGCAGAGCTAAAGGCAGATCCCAGTGATAGAGGGTAATCTATAAATTCAAGCTTTTTGTTCCTTCAATAACGATTTTGAATAAATCTTGAAAGTGACTGAAAAACTGAGATCTGGGATTCCATGCGCGGGCTAAAGTCACTGAGCGGTCTAAAATTCCTCGAATACTGGATAACTTACCATTGGCTCAATGCCATTTTCAAGAAGGGCATCGACGACTTTGTGGTAATGCTCCACTCCCTTAGGGTTAGGTTTGCCGGTCCCCTTTGGAAAAATTCTAGACCAGGAGAGAGAAAACCGATAATCGGACACCTGGATAGTCAACCATTTATCCCAGACAAACTGAATTTGTACCAGTACTCACACCAAGTGTTTTCAGTAAAGTGATGTCTTCTTGAATTTTATGATAACTGTCTGCTGCGATATCGGCGGTAGAATTGTCTCGAATCTTTCCTGCTTTCTTGGTGTACTCGTCCCAAATCGAAGGACCACGACCTTAATGCTTTCAAAATGGAAACGAACTTGGAAACGAGATTGCATCAAAGTTTGCCATCTTCTTCTGTGGCGCCCTCTACTTGAAATGAGGCAGTAGAGGTAGACCACTTGAATCCTTCGGGAAAATTGTGGATGACAGGTACGGCTTTCTGAAAATAATTCATGAACTGCTGGGAAGTTACGAGTTGGTTTTTGCGGTCTTCCTTTCTAATGCTTCACTGCTGCTGTCTCAAAAAGTACCAAGCACCAAAACATAAACTCAAACTTCGATTATTTTTCGCTGAAATTGTTTGGTTACATTTTCCTCTCCACAAGTGGAATATAAGATCCCACTGAATTCTTGTGTTCACTCTTTTAGGAAGGACTTCACATATTTAGGAACGGCTTAGTTCTACAAGCTCTGTGAACCGTGAGCATGTTTGAAATTTACTTACGCCACACATTCGGCATGGACAAATATAGCAACGGCTGCAACAATGAGAAGGCGGCCAAGCATCGTCTACCCAAGAATCTGTGGAAGAGGTGAGCCAATCACTTGATCCATTTACCAAAACTCTTTACTGCTTAAACCTGAAAATAATCTTTTCTTGGGAACGATCTCAAAACATGCTGGTTGCAACGTTTGTGCTCTAAACCTTTCCTATCACAAGGTTCTATGATTGAAATGCGAAATAGAATGGCCATTTTGATAAAAGTAGATAAGATTTCTCAGATATAAATGGAATTCTAGAGTCATAAAGGATGAAGGATTCGGCGTCTTCAATACTCTCTGCGGGTATGCGCCGAACGCACACTACTTCGCAATTGTATGCGTGCGAGCCTATTACAGTGAATTGCGGGGGCCAGTACCAAGTATTAAGTCAGTGCTTTTATCCCCCCGGATTACTCTGGCACCAATTTACCGGCCCCGGAGGGTAGAGGGCTTGGTTGGCCTAGGGGCAGGGATCGAACTTGGGTCCGATCTGGTCATAGCGGCACCTCATACCACCACGCCACTCGTCTCTTGTAAAGTCATAATGTGAGGGTGACGGCAGCAACGCTTTCCGAGAAAATGTTTCCTGAAAGTTGGAAAGGGTAAGAAGAGAGTTTAGCCAGTAGTAGCAAAGAATGAAATGGCGGGGATGTGATGAAAAGCATGTACGGGATCGCGTATGCACTGGTACAAACAGCCGTGCACTATTGCGTAGGGCAAAAAATGTAGAAAGAAGGATGCCGTTGAACTCAGACAATCGCCGGGGGCAGGCGGGCACCGGAAAAATAGATTGCTGATCTCTCGCACCCCGCTCGCAGATTTTTTGGAAAGCAATCAGGACTTTTCGGAAGACCGCTTGCTGAGTTCTCGATTCCTCAGAGATTCAGCAATATATCTGCAAAAGATAAGAGCGAAAAAAAATTCAACAGGCGGTCTCTCAAAAATCCGCTGACTCAGCAAGCGGTCTTCCGAAAAGTCCTGATTGCTTTGCAAAAAATCCGCGAGCGGGGTGCGAGAAATCAGCAATCTATTTTTCCGGTGCCCGCCTGCCCCCAGCGATTGTCTGAGAAGGCAATCATAGCTTGTTTGTTCAGTGGTTCTTCTGGCACTGGCTCAGCAGAATCACAGCTGTAGGGTATTCATTGTTCTTGACATCGTTGGATGAGCTGAGCTTGAAACTGTGCTTTGCAGCGTTTGAGGATATCAACAACTTGCTTTTCTGAACTTGAAAGCTGCTGTCTGGGCGAGCAGCGGAAGCCGGGCCCCCCTTATATTGTAGAATGATTGGCTGCTGGAGCCATTAATCCAATTGCCGCTGAGATGGGTGGGATGTCTCCACCCTTCGGGACTCCACAAGCAAATCGCCCTTTAGAGGGCGGGATTTCGCTTCCCACCCTAACGGCACTTCACGTCCGGAAAAGCGAGTTATCACTATCTTCAGAAGCTGCAAAGCATTAATCTGGACTCTTCTCATTTAGAGGAATCGAGGACGATAGATACTATCGCCTATCTGTCGAGCCAGTGCCTCTAGATTCTTGGCCATTCAATGCTTTCAAAACCAAGGGAACTTGGATAAAAAAAGGTTTTTGGAGTCTATGAATGGTAGAAGAACCTTTTTGAAAATCAAATATACAACATATACTGAGAATATACGTGTTCCGAGACCAAATAATCCATTGATTATCAGAAAGTGGTGTACGTAAGGAGTGAGACAACATAAGATGGAAATATGGCAAAATATCAAACAGAAGCCACCATTCTTGATTCACCAAGAAATCTATGTTGTTGCAAAAATAATTTTTTGAAGAATTATAATGTCAAGAAAATGCCAGCAAATATTTGCGTCAACAGGATGTGAAGCGTCTGACGATTGTTGCTCCAGTCCGTGTAATTTGAGATCTGTTTTGAAACACACAATAGTTGCATTGAAAGAAAAAGTTCACAGTGGCGATCTTTGAGAGAAAACAGACCCAGGGATCATAGACCTCTTACTGAAAGCGACAATCTATAGGAAAAAGCTGAATGCTACATTTTCTTACAATCTGGAAATCGTTTAACAAAAATGTACCTCGATTTTTGTGCATGGTATGTAATAATCTTGCAAAAATACTACGATTACATGGCGAACCTTTACAAGTAAAAATAGCAAAAGTCGTTTCCAAAGAAAAGGAAGAGAGATTAAGGAGTTTCTTGCCTCCTGTCCTCCTTGCACAAGCAGTAGCGAGAGTACTTGTTAATCTGTGATTTTGAATGTAATAAGTATGCTGTCGTGAATTTATTTACGCGTCACTTGGTGCAATTGCACGACAACTGAGACCTATTACTTTGGCTGGGAGTAATAGGTACTAATGTACCCTTCTTTGTAAATTTTTATCCTTTTCTTTCGCTAAGAACTGTATGCACAGCAGTGCACTGCCATCATCACTACGCTCCTTTTCAAAGAAAACAGATCACGAGCCCGCAAGAAATTTAAGAAGCATCCCAATTTATTGAGGAAGTGGCTAAGGTCATCTCTTTGTAATGGAGAAATTTGCTGCGCTCACTAGCCCTGTTTCGCACATAGTAAAAATTTACGTGTAATTCCAGTGAATATTCGGATTAAAGCTAATTATGCAAAAACTTACATTGCGAGTGCTCCAATATGCTCAGAATAAAATGAAATTGAAATGAAAAAATTAAAAAAAAATTAAAACTTCTATTTGAATACCTTTCTGTAAAAAGAGCGTACAAAAATGTTTTTATTACTTAGCTGATTCCACAACCAGGGCTCATCACGAGCGGGCACCAGGGTATTTTCAACTTCCGCTAAGTTTTACGAAGTCTCATTTGACCCCAAACCCTAAACGTAAAAAATCCTCAAAAAACGAAATGTCGAAAAAAAACTTTGCAATTTTTGTGTCTTTTCCGCTACCAAAACGAAAACCCCTTTGCTTTTTGTCCCATAAACGATATCCAGCTTGCCCCTGCCAGCTGTGCCAGGCTCTATCTACGACTCCTTCGTCAGGCTGACTTCTACACTGAGAAAACGAAACCACTCTTTCTCTGCCTCCTTTAAGTGAATCTTGTTAACTGACTGCTTATTGAGTAGAAGACCGAAATGGTTATCCATCTCACATCTTATATGTTGGACAAACTGAGATTATCATCGTAGCGAGAATAGTAAGATGCGAGGTAAAACGCAATTTTTTCTTTTGACATAAAGCTTATGACGAACACGGGAAAGCCTTGCCACATGCTAGGCCTCTAATTTATCTAAACTACTGCTTTTACCAGCGATATCGAGCAGTCCAGATATCCTTGTAACAGCACCATCACCACCATTCATGGTTTTCCTAAGGTGATGGATTTATATCGCTTTTTGGGGCTAAAGTCTATGACTTGCACATTCGCTTGTCTAACATATTTACAATAAAAAAAGGGTACTACGGACCCGAGTTTGCTCTCCAGAAGCCAAGTGGATCCGTTTGACGCACAATTTTTGAGGGACCCACTCAAGCAAGTGCTGTATTCAGCAAGTGCTCGAGCAGGTTATTAGTTTATTCAAGTGGGGACATGTTCAACAACGGTGGAAGAATAACAGAGGTAATCATGCATTCCTGTCCATAGAACCTCCGGCATTGCTTATGGAACTTACAATTTCTAACTTTCCAAGTTTGCAAGTGGGAACGTACTTGTTTTTCATGAATCCTACAACACAGGACTGTTTGAAAGATCACCTTTGACTTACTGTATAATGCCTCTATTTTCGCAATCCTTGCTGTTTTTTTGCTGTGCAAAGCCAACATATATCCGGTACTGGTTGCTGAATTGCTTTCCCGACGTTTTGCGATATATACTCACATTCGTAATTTGGCGAGTCTGCAGCAATGCGAGACAACTGGCGACACACCTACTAGCAACCCACAAGGAAAGGATGGTCATTCTTTTTGCGATGATTTGTATGCGATGTTGGAGGGCGTAGAATTCGTGATTCCAATCTGATTCCAAATCTGTCCTCCTTATCTGCGGTGCATTCCGGGACCAGGAGTTATGAGCGTTTCAAGGAGCAGAAAATGGTGTTTTTTTTTTGGGATGAAAACAGTTGCAAAAATTTTTTCAGCGCTTGAATGAGACAGCCGGAGTGCGGATATATTTCATCTAAAAGTATTTATTTCATAGAGTGCTGGGAAAATTACCATTGGTCCATTTGAGCGCTAGGAAAGATATCTATTGTTTTTATACTATTTGCACATTCAATTTTTTTCCGCGAATAAACGCTCATAACTCCCCGTGCAGGAATGCACCGCAGATAGTGAAGATGAATATGGAATCAGCGTTTTATGCCTTCCAAAATGGTATACAATCCATCTTGAAAGGCCACTTCGACCAACCATCTTTTCCTTTTCAGTAAAATCCATCCTAGCTTAACAATCTGTAGAAATGCATACTACCAAAAAAAAAACAAGAAAAATAGAATGTCACTGGAAACGAGTAGGATTTGTAAGCTTGCACGCCGTCAAGTAGCACTCGCATTTCAAGTCAAAAAATTTGCTTTGTTGCGAAGGAACTTACGTTAGATCACAGTGAAGAGATTATAGACCGTTTTTGAATTTTTCTTTGAAAAATGACAAGCTTATCATACATCCAAACATGACTATAAAAGCTTCCAACCCCTTCATCACCATTTATTTACCATGGACAATCCCCTTAGGACGCCGGAAAGTGTTCACTCGCATCTACTTTTCATTCTTAGTGTGAGCTGTTTCTCGTCCCATGAGGCTCAATTTATTGCCTCGCAGTTCGTAGATGCTAAAATTCGTCGGATCATAGGCAACCGTGGACGCCTTTTAAGAAGTGAACATCAAGCTTGCCAAAACAATAAGTTTTGTTTCAGACATCGTATTTGCTGCTTATCATATTCATTTTCATCGGCGGCTTGAAGACCTTTGAGGTACTTGGAGGTGATACATCGGGAAAGACAGCAGAAGAACTTGGAGAGCAAATTCAAGCAATCCTGGTACCGAGATATGTTGCCACTTTTATCCCTTATATCTTTATCATAGGTGCTAATTTCGTTCGCACTGCATTGTGCAGCTCTAGTATGCACCATTATTTGTATACTGTTTAATAATATTCCAAAAATCAGGGTTAAGATGCCAACAATTGTAGTGAGTTGATTATTGACGTGATTTTTGTTCCAGCAAATTTTTAAGAACTTTTACAGGTTGTCGTTATTCTTATCTTTGCCGCTTCCTTCAATGCAATCGCAGCTATCCTACTATTCATACACAAACCGAAGGATGAACAGCAGATTCCTGTTATGCGTGCAGCTGCGGTGAGTGCTCGTATTCGTCGAATGAGTAGTACTGTAAGGAAAATGCGCTTTAGCACCGCACTCGCACAACTCAGCGTCGCATTTGCAAAAATGTATCTTACCTTGTCAAAAAAATGGTAGAATAACGTACTATTCCGTATTCCGGCCCAGCCTGGATCATACTTGGTACCTGTGGTGAAAACTCTAGCCGGATCACCGTAGCAAAGACTAGATCTCCACTACCTCTACCAGTCCTTGTCTTACCCTGCCCTCCCATCGCGTCCTCCTCTCCGCTTCGTGCACACTGCTCCCGCTTCCTCCTGCACATAACACTTTAATTAGCTGGAAACTCACCATGAAAACCCCCTGCTTCAGATCGCCGCATCCTGACGGCCGTAAACTTAGAATGAGCTTTACCGCCTTTTTTCACGTTTGGGAAAAATGTTTCACAATTACCATGAATCATAATGACGATCTAAGGATTGCTTACGTCTTCTGTCTCTTTTGTGTATGTTCTCGTCTGTTTGTCCGAAATCTATGAAGCGAACTGCAGCTAAGTCTCAAAACAGTTTTTTGGCTACATGCCCCTGAGCGTAAGTTCACTATGCGCAACGAATCCAGTGCATAGATTTCACAAATAACTACGTGTTAATCTAATCCACACGGGCCTAAGCTCGCAATTAGGCTCAATTTTAGGCTTTTTGCAATATAATGGATTTGCAAGACATACACTGTGCAAGCCATCAACTTCAGCCCCAAAAAGTATCATAGGCTCTCATGGTCAGATTCGTATGGAGGTGGATTGCGAGCTCAACATCAGGAAGACAGAGTATATGGAAGTGGGGAAACAGACTCCTGGTACCATAAGCATCGATGGTGAAGAGCTAAAGAAGACAACGTCATATAAGTATCTAGGCACTCACATCTCAGCGGAGGGAGGTTACAAGAAGAGGTCGCAAGCAGGATGAACACAGCATGGATGAAATGGAGAGCCTTAACAGGAGTTCTCTGCGACAGAAGAATGCCAGTGCAACTTAAGTCCCAACTGTACCGCACCGCCATCCGGCCAGCAGCATTGTATGGCAGTGAATGCTGGCCGTGTACGCGGAACGAGAAGCGCAAGCTCAGTGTCATGGAAACAAGGATGCTACGATGGACCTTAGGAGTCACACTGAAGGATCACATCTGCAATGACACTATACGCGAATGAAAGTAGCTCCAATTGCCCAGAAAATGCAGAAAAGAGGTTACGATTGTATGGGCATGGCGCAGAAGGGAGGAAAGTCACATCACGAAGTCAGCTCTGGCTGTGGAGGTTCCAGGCAAACGACCCAGAGGTAGACCCAAGATGAGGTGGATGGACAGAATCAAGGCCGACCTGCGAGAACTTGATATAGATGAAGACCTTGCCTCAGATAGGACCACATGGAAACGTCTCACAGGAAAAGCAGACCCTGCGTAAGCGGGACACATGCGAGGATAAAAAAATACTCAGGAGAATCACGAGCCTCTGCGAAACAGAGGATAAGGCGCTGATGCTCAAAGCTGTTATTTTTCCGGAGGTAACAGATCAGTAGATCAATGAACTCGGCGAATCGCCGAAAAAGAAGCCACGGCACCGATGTTGAATACATAGGTGGCAATGTTTGCCGTTTGTAGATCTACTCGCAAAGATATCTAAGAAGCGCACATTTCTCAGGCATACTTACAAACTTTGTTCTTGATGTACAGAAAAAACCACTGCAATTATTGGAAATGCACTTTGCTGAAATAATACAGAATTAATAAGAAAAAATAATTGGTCTTTTCCAGATTGTGTCCTCTATAGCCACTATGTTCGCTATTGGATTATTGGCATTATTTTACAAAAGAATTCCAAAGGGTCAGCAGAAGTTACAGAGGATGGAAAGCATTCCAGTGCAAGTGTAAGTTGTCTTGACGGCCGTTAATAACTCAACCTCGCTCTTTTTTTTTCAGCGGACCACCACCTGGTCCTCCACCTCCTCCACCTTTTATGCCTCCTCCACCCCCTCAATCACCTTTACAAGCACCACCCAGCGGAGATTACTTCAAACCTTGAAGTTCCTCATTTACGTGAAGTTAGAACAAAAATTCGCCTTACTTAGAACTTACTCAGCTGCCGTTGTTAATAAAGATTTTCACATTCTAGCGGAGGATTCTCTTATCAGCATGCAACATTATTCGAGTACTCTTCGTGACAGGAGAGGCGAGTACGACTACGAAAGGAAGTAGCATCCACCAAATTTCCTTAGAATGACGAATGAGACGTCACATTGAGGAAAATTTAGTTTTGCATATTCATCCATTCATCTGCATGTTACGGTCTACCACTTAGTGCGTGGCATTATGCCTCTACATAGTTCATTGTAGATGAAGGAGTTATTGCGGTTGCAGCTCAAAAGTGTAAGCTAATTTCTGCAGCTGAAGTAACCGTTTACCGAACATTTTGCATTTTGTATCATTCAATACGCTGAAGTTGTTTCCAATAAAAAGTGAAAACTGTTCGGCTTCGGACAGAGTTCACGCGATTTGGTCGCCGCGATTCAATCGCTAAAGACAAGTGTTACGAGTTCATTGCATGCCGATCTTCTTGTAATTCGGTTGTGATAGTTTTCTAACACGCCTAATCATGACTAACTATCACAACCCAATTGCAAGAAGATCGGCATGCAATGAACTCCAACACTTGTCTGTAGCGATTGAATCGCGACGACGAAATCGTATGAACTCTGCCCGAGGCCTTAGTCTTGTAGTGAACCAAACCGTATGTATTGCGGCGTCTCACAAGCGCTAGAGTTTTCATTCTCGTCCTCATTTCTTTGCATAGCGATTGATTTGCGGCAAGATGCGTATTGAGAAAAACTGAGCATGCTCATGATATCAGTTCCTTAGCTTTTAAACATGGATTTCTCAAGAGAAATAAGAGGCAACTTCGACACCTGCCCATTTCTTGCGCTCTTTTTTTGCTGATGATAGAAATGGTGTTCCCCTGTTTTTTTTTTCACAACTTAGTGGCTCTGCGAAACCAGTACTCTCTTTGCTTTTTACCGCGATGTCCAGCCTGCCCGTACGCCATCCCTGTGCAAATCGCAGCTCTGTAGTCTCTGCATATCTTGCAGCTTTGTCGACTGTGTTCTTGTGCTTGTTTGCATAAAATGACGGCTCAAATGAAATCATATAAAATAAAAAATATACAAAATATAAAATCGTGCGAAATGTTTTGCCTGTGGGTCGCTTCAATATCCCGCAAAACTTTGCGGACATTGCGGTAACATTTTCAGTCCACCAGAGTATCATTTACGTAACCTATTTAGCATTCTGATGCAATTCAATGAATTCCTTTAACAGTGAAATATTGATTTGATGCTTAATTATTGCATGTTACTTAATCTTAAACGGCAGAAAAGGTATAAATATCTACGAAACTCATCATTTGTTAGAGCAAAGCAAGCCCTGCAAGAGTTCAAAATAATCTTACTATCAGAAAGACTCACGGAAAGTTATGAAGAAAAATCTAAAAATCGAATGCCCAAACTTTGGATCTCTGTTCAGAAGAATCCTACAGACCTCCAAATGGCTCATGCAAACTATTAGGTCGTGTAAAAAGTTCTGTCCCATTTTTTGTTTTAGTTTTTCCTTGACTACGTTGACTACATTTAAGATAAAGCGTATGTGCTTAGTCTGCTCTGCAGGCTTATATGCATCACTCCTCAACATAGCAGGAAACTGAAAAAGATTTTTATCATTAAAACAAAAAATCCAAAGAGCCGAAAAATCAATTTTCGATATCTTTTTTCCTCCAAATTTTTCTCGCTTTTTATTGGTAAAACTTATTAAACAAGTTTGACAACAACCAGAACAATCTACTAGACTTTTACACTTTCTTTATCTTTATCTTTATTGATACGTGCAAGAAACACGTAAGTAAATGCAAGAACAATAAATAACCTGTAAGGCAAGAGACCGACCGATGGAGGTAGAAAATTTGAGGGAACAAGAAAAATAGAAGAACAACAACACAACAACAGAAAAACAGCCGAACAAATAGGAACATAAAAAGCTGACCAACAGCAAAATAGCAATGATCAGGAAGTGGGATGACTTGTAAGAAGTTGAACCAAGAAGTTTTGAAGAGCGTCTTGTGCCAATAACTTATTTAGGTCAGGCATAATTCTCGAAGCGAAAAACTTTGCTCTCAAGAGTGTTTTAGCTTTTGGGGCTCTAAGTTTCAAAACTCCCCCTCTCGTTCTAGAGGAATAAACATCAAAAAACTTTGACAAATCAATCTTACATCTCCCAGTCAACATTCTAACAGCCATGGAAAGGTCGAAATTTCTCCTTCGGAGTGCTAGGCTAGGAAGCGACAGCAATTTAGAACGTTCTTGACTCGCTGGTATAAGAGAATAATTTGGACCCAAAACTCTCAAGAATAACTTTCGAGTGAAATTATTTTGAACACCTTCAATGGCAGTAATATCTCGGACCCTATACGGTGAAGTAACGACAGTGCCAAATTCAACAATAGGGCGTATATACATTTTAAAGCCCTAATCAAAACACTGGGTTTAGAAGTACGAAGCGCCTTGAACAAGTTGTATGTTCGACGAACGGCTTTGGAAACAACGGCGTTGTAGTGACCTGAGAATTGAAGCTTAGCATTGAATGTGAAGCCCAAATCTCTGATTTCAGTAACTTTACTTAGATTAGTTTCGTCTATACTATAGGAGGAATCAATTGTTTTACTACCCAATGACATGACTTTGGTTTTGTCTGGGGCTAAAGGTAGTCCAAATTCCTTAGACCAACGAGAGACCGAGTTAATGCAAGACTGCAATGATTCGACGTCAGATGAACTGCGTATGATTTTGTATATTTTTATATCATCTGCATACATAACACATTTGCAAGCCTTAGCTTCGACGATTCCGGGTAAATCAAAAGTATAGATCAGGAAGAAAATAGGTGACAGAACTCCACCTTGTGGAACACCACTAGAAATGGAGTAGAGCTTTGAATAATCATTACCGATACGAACTTGAAACGTTCTATCACGCAAAAAATTTTCAATCCAGGTACAAGCCAAATTGTGTAAGCCTAAAAGCTTAAGTTTGGATACCAATTTTGAAGTTGGGACCTTGTCAAAAGCTTTGGAAAAGTCCAAAAATATTACATCAGTCTGATAGGTTTTATCAGACGCAATCGTCCAATCATTCATAGCAGTCAACTCGGCCCTCTCAACTGATTTACCTTTACAAAAGCCATGCTGAGAAGGGGGGATAATAGAGTACTTTTCAAGATGCATAACTATATGTTCCTTGAGTATTTTCTCAAATGTTCGGGAAAAGATAGACATAATACTTATCGGGCGATAATTTTTAGGGCTGTCATAGGGAGGTTTCTTAGGAATTGGGGTCACAAAAGAATGTTTCCACCTGTCGGGTACCTCTCCTCTCATATAAGAAAGATTGAAAAGAAACTCAAGCGCAAAGCCAATTTCAGGCAACACCTTCTTGATAAAGTACAAAGGTACTCCATCAGGAGTGATCGTAAAGGAACTTGGGCTTTTAGAAAGAATGCTGACAATTTTATCCCTGGAGAACCAAAGAGTTTTATCCATTTCCGGGTACAAGGGTGAAGAGTAGGAAGTAGCAGGCAGGGCAGCAGTACTGTAGGCTTTCTGAAACTCATCAGCCAACAGATCTGCCTTATCCGAATTCTGAGACAGGGGATTGCCTAAGCTGTCCACTAAGGGATAGGAGACTAAATTATCACTAAGATGTGTTTTTATATAGCGAAAAAGTCCATTTGAATTATTTGTCAAGGTTAGCTTCTTCTCAAGATAAATACTTGTTGGAGGCTTTCATTATCTTATTATTGAAACTTCTAAACGCGCTCCAGGCTTCAGCATCTCCACTAGCAACGGCCAGATTCCAAAGACGATCGCGCTCCAGCATCATATTAATTAAATAGCTGGGCAAGCTAAGTTGATTTTTCAAAACTTTGCGCAAAGGGACAAACATCTCCGAAGCATGTTGCAAAATTGCTATGAAGAGTTCATATATGTCGTTCACGGAACACAAGGGCATGAAACAGCCCAACCAATCGATACTTGAAAGATATTCTTACAATCAGAAAGACTCACGAAAAGTTATGAAGAAAAATCTAAAAATCGAATGCCCAAACTTTGGATCTCTGTTCAGAAGAATCCTACAGACCTCCAAATGGCTCATGCAAACTATTAGGTCGTGTAAAAAGTTCTGTCCCATTTTTTGTTTTAGTTTTTCCTTGACTACGTTGACTACATTTAAGATAAAGTGTATGTGCTTAGTCTGCTCTGCAGGCTTATATGCATCACTCCTCAACATAGCAGGAAACTGATAAAGATTTTTATCATTAAAACAAAAAATCCAAAGAGCCGAAAAATCAATTTTCGATATCTTTTTTCCTCCAAATTTTTCTCGCTTTTTATTGGTAAAACTTATTAAACAAGTTTGAAACAACCAAAACAATCTACTAGACTTTTACACTTATTCTATCACTGTTTGCGCATGTTCCCTTCCTTCCACCGGCTATTTAATGACATTTTTTTCAAAAGTCGGCAAGGCAAGGCTTTGTCACGGCTTTGTTCTCCGTCTCGCGTAACCAAGCTGTGTGGCTCCCAAAATTTGAATTTCGGTATTTAACCTACGAATTCGATAATTTTGAAGCTACAAACCATCCCTTCTGTCTTCTCTGGATGATCCGCTTACCGTCTTCCCTCAGGATGCCTTCAGATGATGCCCAACACCAACGTTGAAAAGGCGTTAGAAAGAAGAATTTTCTAAAGTCTACAAAAATGATTTTTGAAAATTTTCAGCACTTCTGAAGCGCAAAAGAATAGAGCATTCTCTGCTTACATGTAGCAAATTCTGTGAGCTTATTCCTAGGCCTTCTGACTAATTAGGAGGGCGACGTAAGGTAGTTGTCGAAAATGGACTTTTTCCCTGTTTGATTTTCCAAATTTTACGCTGCAAAACTTTTTCAAGTCATTTGATGTAGAAAACCGAGATGGAAGTTTTAGTAGAGAAGGCTTAGAGCTTTCAAATGCGTGTAAACAATTTGCAAAACATCGCAACATGCAAAATATTGAGAAAAAATCGAAGAAAAAATGGTACAGAACTTATCACACAACCTAATACTCACTGCTATGCACATGTACGCTTGCTGCTTTTTTCTTTTGCTAAAATTTGAGATAATAAAATTCGGCATATTCTAGCAAAATCAAAGCTGGGTTTTCCCGACATAGACACCTTCAATACTAAAAGCCTTCAAAAGTATAACGGTAGATTTTCAGCCTTTGGAGGCGTTAGTCGCCAAGAATATCAAAATTATTTTAAAAACCGGAAAGGCGATTTCATCAAATTTTTGGTCTAATTTTGTTCTTCATTCCGGTCACGAAAAAATACTGCAAATGTATGTGAATATTATACGTGTATATAGTATATGCTTGACCAAGTTGGGAGTTCGCAAGATTTTTATAGACGGAAATCTAATTTTTAGGTCAAAATTTTCTAATTTTCCTCAAACTTTAGGTAGATCAAACCTTTTGCGATTGTTTGAGTTCTCCCTAATGGAGCTTGATTTGGCTCTATCGAATGATTTATTTTAGACATTTTTACACCTTTTCTGCCGCTAATAAGAAGAACGCATCAATTTTGCATCGATCCAATAGTTTGAAAGCAACTTTTTTCATCAGACGAAAAGGAGAAAAAGCAAACAGATAAGAACTTGTTAATCGTTTAGTCATTTGTGTAGATGAAAGTGAGAATGAAGAACACATAGTGCACTTATTACGAAATCTTCTTTTTCGAAATCAAAGAGAGAGTAGCAACAGCAAGTGGCCAACAGCTTCTTTTAAAGAACAACACAGAATTTTACAAAGAAAAATCGTAGAAAAAAGATGAGAATAAGGCAATCTCGCGAAGTCGTAGTTTCCAGTTGCAGCGTTTCAGCCCCATACACAGTCTAAAAAATTATTGCTGAACATAAAACATCTTCATCCTCCCGCGTCGTAAACAAACCTTCAATTAGTGCTACCGAATTATTATGAATTATCTCCTTGTAGAGAACAGCTGAGGCTTTCGGTGTCCGCGGACGGGATGGTGATGAAAAGTCCACCTATGAAAGTTTTGTCTAAGAATTCGTTTGCTTTTGCCCTTTTCCTAACTATTTTCAAACATATTTGGCATACTAATTCTTCAAAGACCAGCGGCAGCATACCTTGTGTATTCCGAACAAATTGGTGTAACCGTCAGCCCATTCGAAGTTGTCTATTAGACTCCAAAGGGTGTAACCCACAATGTTGCAGCCGTCCTTTATAGCTTGAATAGCTCATTTTTCGTTAATTTACAATTAAGGACTGAAGACTTCCAGCTTTCACCTTCAGCAACAGCAGCAATGTGCTCTCGCAGATATCGCATACGGGTAATGTCCACGTCCGATTCGCCTGGAGTATCCATGCAGCCATTTTCGGTTATGAACACCTGAGTCATTCGAGAATTTGAATTAATAAATCAGAATCAAATCTGGACCTACCTCTGGGTTATCGTACTTTTCTCTGATGTAGTTCAATAAAGATCGAAGTCCAGATGGGTGGCTTCTTATCCAAGAGTCTTTCCTCCCAACTCTGACAAATTTATTTTTAGCAGTATGGCCTGAAGCGACCATCCAGAAAGGTTAATGCCGTGATAGAGTACGACGTATGATGTTTTAAAGCATATTTACTACTCCGCACAAATTTTAGAACCTTGATGTTGTTCATATTGAAGAAAAAAAAACAACGAGGCAAGGTTAGTGCCCTGTGACTCTCTCGCCGTCAAATTTATTAAGGAAGAAAGCAGTTTCTGAGCAGTACTGGCTACGGGTCTTGATAAGACCTCACAACTTTATTTTCGGGCTTAAAATTTGCTATCCATGCTTTCATGATCAAATAAGCGATTCCAAACTGCAAAATCTTCCTATGTGGGATGTATGTTGCGCGCTTTTTGAAAATTCCGTGGTCAGCTATTTGTTTGCGACTTTTTATTTTGCACTAGAAAATTTTGGAAAACCCAATTTATTAAAAAATCTGTGCCATAAGTGAAAGCAATAAAGAGCAGCATCAGACAGTACAGCATCAGACTGTACTAGTTAACTCTCCTTCTTTTCTTTGCGCCATGTGATTAAATGTTATTAAGCTTTTTGAGGACCTAGTTTGAGAGACATATAGCGGTAGAACTTTTGATAGAAAACTGATTTTCAAGACAGACAAAGGATTGCGTCGAGGGGCATAGTATATTATAGATTAGGGCTTCACCAAACCCCACAAGCAACGAGGTACTAGCTAGGTAGCAGCTAGGTAGCATAGTAGGCAACTTTCTTTCTTCTCTCCATCGATTCTTTTTTATCTCTGCACTTTAGATTAAAAGTCAACGATAACGTCTTGTTTATAGGATCGCTTACGCAAGCTGACAACATAACAAATCATAAAACTCACGGCATGTCTTTGCTGTTGAGCCAACCAGCCCCTTCCAAGTCGTAGTTCAGTCCAAGATGCATTCTAATCGAGTAGAATCAATACATAATTGATTACAATAATTAGTTACAAGATTCAAGACTGACCCTTGCTCTTCTGGTCGTAATGCACGTACGGTAAGTGTGATATAGTAATTGATTCCTAGAAAGTCGGCAGAGCCTATAACAACTCATGATTTCATTGCCATATCCGCCAAAGGTAACATATTCACCAATAAGCATTTGTCTCTCATAATCAGTAAAATATGGTAGCCGACTTGTCGTTCTTCCTTCATCTTTTGATTTTATATCAGCTGTTTCTCGCATGGCTTGAGGGTAATCACCTGGATGGACAAGGTCTTTGATAAAAGTAAAAAGTCATTCTCTCCGCAATTGTTCGCTGATGATAACAAACATACAACATTGCCCGAGCCTCTAGATAATCGTACCAACCTTTGAAAAGAGGGTGAATGAACCATAGGGCTGCCCATTCCCTCGCCGCTTCAGCAAACTTGGCCTCCATTGGAGATTCTGGTTCCATCCATTGAGCACTGTTTGCAATGCCGATTTTTCCTTAATTGCAATAAACACTTAGGAGTACTACTTGAGTAAATAGGCATTATATATACCAAAGCTATAGGGTCAAGCGTGAGGTGTGGCACGCCAGGGTCGTATTGAGGAGTCAAAAGGGGAGGGGGTCGTTTTGAGGAGTCAAAAGGGGAGGGGGTCGTAGTTGGGTAATCTGATAATAGTGATAACATGGTATTCGTATCATATCCATAATGAGCATGTCAATTAACCCCTATAGACAAAGTTTGAGCGAATTCTGAAGATTCAAGATACTAAGGCTACCTAAGTGAAGTGGTCATATTCCAACGTTTCAAAGGTGAATTAGCTATCCGTTTTTGCACTCAAGACAAGGCACTACTCCTTCTTTGTCCATCTCAGAAATTCCGCTTCAAAAGACCTTCAAACTGTTTAGAAGCCAACCAAGATCTTATTTTTCCCATTTTCCGCTTTTGATGGCTGTGCTTTCACCAAATATTACTCATAAGGGAATGGTCAGAAGTCGAAGTGGCCAATCCATACAAGCTGCATACCATTCGATGCAGCATAGAATGCTGATTTCAAATCTGTCTTCCATATCTGCAGAGCGCCTTTGTAGGCGAAGTTATGAGCAGCTTTACTGCGAAAAAATCGTATGCAAAAATTGCAAAATTAGGGACATTATTGCTCTTTCAGCTCACCTCTAGGTACAGGTCATATGAAGTGACCTAGTTGCATGTTTTAGTCCAACACTGAGCGGAGAATGGCTTTATAATGCTAAATTTGCACATTACACGCATAATTTCTAAGCAAAATAATGGCTTTCAACGGCTTATAATTTTATCCACAAAAGCGCTCCGCAGACAGTGAAGACAGATTTAGAGTCAGCGTTTCATGCTGCATCAAATTATATGCAGCTTGTATGGATTGGCCACTTCGACTTCTGACCATTCCCTTGTCAGAGCTAAGAAGACGAATCAGGCTTAAAACATTCCTATGGAATCTACGAGGTTTAGGCTATCGATTCATATAAATACTGTTCGTTAAAAATGTTTTTATGACATAGTTAATGGGGTGTAAAGATTAACTATGTCATAAAACATTTTTAGCGAACAGTATTTATATGAATCGATAGCCTAAATTTTAAGCCTGATTCTTCTTCTTAGCTCTGAGTGATATTTGGTGAAAGCACAGCCATCAAAAGCGGAAAATGGGAAAAATGAGACTTTGGATGGCTTCTAAACAGTTTGGAGGTCTTTTGAAGCGGAATTTCTGAGATGGACAAAGAAGGAGTAGTGCTTTGTCTTGAGTGCAAAAACGGATAGCTAATTCACCTTTAAAACAAAGTTAATCATTGCAAGACTTTGTGCTCGATTGTCGATAAACCTTGGCATTGGTTCAAATTGTAAATACAGTTTTTTAAAGCTGTTAACCAAGGTTGTTAGCAAGACTTTATTGTACGAAAAGCCAACGTTTCGGCGGTCCGTCCGCCTTCTTCGGGGCTTCCTGAAAGATCGAGACTTTGAGAACTGCCCGCCCAAACACCGTGTTTGGCAATGGATTTAGTTTGACTATGTGATGGAGTGGCAGAGTAGATTTTGGAAGCCTGACCTCAGCCTTGCAGATCAAGATGTAGAAACCGAACGACCAGTACTGCGCTGCAGCTGCGCTATGAGTGAGTATGATAGTCAGTGTCAACAATGCCCTTTATATGGTCATAGAAAATTTCGTATCAAAATCGACATAGCGTTTGATAAGAGAACAGTTCACTTATGGCAATGTCTTCATCTTTGCGATTCATTTTTGGTGATTTGGACGCTATCTAAAAGGCCTCCAACGTTTTGCGGGGTATCAACTCGGACTCGTGCGACAAGTCGTTACAGTGACTTGAAAGTACTGGTTCTCATGACATAACCTTCGATGTGCACCCAAAGGTGTGGACATTTTAGATTTTCTAAGGCCGTCAAGATGCTCTTTAATTCTTGTGCAAAGGGTCTGCTAGTCTCTCCTATGTACTGGTCACCGCATTTTTGACAGCTTATGAGATACACCACTCCCATTTCCATGCAGTCGCCTGCTTTTCCAGAAGGGCAGATGACACAATCAGCGGTCGTGCAGATTCTGTCATATGCTCGACTGCGGCTAAGTTGTTTTTTGAGATTAGGAGGTGGTATATCTATAACTCTGACGGAATCATCGAGGCCCGCTTGTATTAGGGATTTTCTGATAGCTCTGCTGAAATTATCAGTCACAAATGGAACACAGAACGGTATTTTTGTTGTCTGGTTCATTTCGATCGGTCTGCATTCTTACCTACAGGTATGCCTTGGTGCACCATTTGTGGGATAGCCGTTAGAATATGCAATCTGTTTGGCAAGGTTAATCGATGCGTTGCGCTGTTCAACATTGGACGAAACCGATTTTGCAGTCTTGAACATGTTTCCTATCACGGACCGTTTCAAGTTCCAAGGATGCGCAGAGCGGTAGTGAATCAATATATTCTTACTAGCGGGTTTGCGAAACCATTTAGTTACGTATGATCCGTGAGATAAAGACACTTGGACGTTTAGGAATCTTATATATAAAGTTGAATGTCTGTTTGTCTGTCTGTCTGTCTGTCTGTCTGTCTGTACGTATGTTCCGAATAGAAAATTCCATTTCTGAACCGATCGGGACCAAACTTGGCACACGTACACTTCGGGCCCCGGCGGGTGTCATAGGCTACTTTTCGTATCGATCCATATCGATTTTATCGATTTTTTGCAAAATTTGAGCTACGGGGCTGGGAGTTGGCACAAGGGGGTAAGTGAGCATGGAGATTCCGAATACAATATTAGTTTTCGAAACCGTGCATTACTTTTATCGACTTTATCGATTTTTTTGCAAAGTTTGAGCTACGGGGCTGGGATTTGGCACAGGGGGTGATTCCAGCCCCCTAGCTCAAACTTTGCAAAAAAAGAGATAAAATCGATAAAAGTAATCGATAATCCCGAAAACTAATATTGTATTCGTAATCAGCATGCTCGATTACCCCCCTGTGCCAAATCCCAGCCCCCTAGCTCAAACTTTGCAAAAAAAAAAGATAAAATCGATAAAAGTAATCGATAATCCCGAAAACTAATATTGTATTCGTAATCAGCATGCTCGATTACCCCCCTGTGCCAAATCCCAGCCCCCTAGCTCAAATTTTGCAAAAAATCTATAATATCGACATCATTCAATAACGAAAAGTGGACTGTGACACCTGCCGGGGCCCGAAGTGTATGTGTGCCAAGTTTGGTTCGGATCGGTTGAGAAATGGAATTTTCTATTCGGAACATACGGCGGAGCCGGGTAAGCCAGCTAGTGCTAGCTAATTTTCATCGGGTTTATCCCGCGTGAATCTTATGTTAGGGGACTGGCTATTCAAAATGTCGAAGCATATGTCTATTTCATTTTGAGTTGGACATATGATGCAACAGTCGTCAATGTATCGATAAAAGAGTAAGGGATCACGATCAAGTACGGGTTCCTCGATTTTTGACATGAAGACGATTGCGACGACGGGAGCCAATCTCTGCCCCATCGCTAGGCCACGTACCTGCTTGTAATACCTTCCTGACCATCGAAATACGCTGCAATTTAGGCATTCTTTCAAAAGTGTCATTATTTGTCTAACGCTGAACCCATACATGTTGAGAGCAGATTGATGTTCCGAGAGCAACTCATACACGGCTTCCATAGCATCTTCATTGGAGACATTTGTGTACAACGAAGTGACATCAAGTGTCTCTTTCGCACATTCTCCATCGAGCTGCGTTGTACTGAGTTGCTCCAGAAACATTTTAGTATTCGAAAGATGGGCAGGCACATACTTTAGTAGTTGTGTTAAGATTAAGTTCAATAGCCATGAAATTCTATCACTTGGGCCTCCGCAGCTGCTTATTATGGGTCTTACTTTGTAGTCTAATGGATTTACAGAGAGCAATTCTGACGCAAGGAGTTTGTGTGTCTTTGTTAGCACGTAAAGGACTGGATATTTGGGTAAATCGACCTTAAGATGTAAGATTAGAGCTTTGGGTAAGCCGATAGTGTTTGCTATATTTACCCACACTTTGTTCAAACGACGGCTTTGTTTCACAAACTCTTGTTTAGAAGAAGTGCAATACAAAGTGTTATTATCCAAATGGTGTTCAGTTATGGCCATATCTAAGTTACGCGTCATCACCACGAATTCCCCTCCCTTGTCGCTGGTTGATATTCTTATCAACGTTGGCTTTTCATACAATAAAGTCTTGCTACCAACATTGGTTAACAGCTTTGAAAAACTGTATTTACAAAGACAATCATGTTGGAAAATGACCATTTCACTTAGGTAGCCTAGTATCTTGAATCTTCAGAATTCGCTCAAACTTTGTCTATAGGGGCTAATTGACATGCTCATTATGGATATGTTGCCCATTATGTTTGACAGGGCCTCCAGGTAATGCTATCTTAGGTATATAATTCAGGGGGGGGGGTCTTATTAAAAGGTCTTATTAAGAGAGCAATCGGGGGGGGGGGTCGTAATCAGCGATCGTGTGCCATACCTCTTGCTTGACCCTGGCTATAACTGTGCTGCCATTTTGTTGAAACCCAAAATTTGCTCCCCAGGAAGTTTTGCTAGAAACTGAATCATACTATCGTACATAGGCTCCGGTTCTATAGCTATTACTGTGAGGAAGGGGGGCGGGTCTTCATAACATTGCAGTTTCGTTTTTGCTCATTTTGTAAGTTCTCGAGCCATTTGTAACTCAGTATGTGTGGTTGCACACTAAGCGCGACAACCGACGTCTCTCATAATACACAGCAGAGCATTTTCTAGCGTAAGTTATGCTAAATTGTGTCCTTCTAACGATACATTCCACTAGAAGAGACAAGGAAACAACATTACAGAAAATGAGCAGTTTCAGATCTTACAAGTCGTCAAGTAATGCCCATGGTGTACAATACGGGTATTGAGTTACAAGCGAGTCGATAATTTTTATACATACCGTTTGCACCCCAGAGAGGTTCCCATGTGAACCAGCGTGAGTACGTGGTGCGACGCTGCCTTTCGCTCTTTTTGACACGTTTCTCCTGAGATTTCAACGGAAGTGCCCGAGGTTAACACGTTCAAAAGTGCGAAAGGCAGCGAGATGACATGGTACCTATGGGAACCTCTCTGAGGCGTAGACGATATGTATATGAAGCGGAATGTTAGTTAGTGTGTTCTGTATAGAAACTTTTGCGTGTGAATCGACCAACGCGAAATTTCCACACATATTAGATTGGTCCAAAAGTTCTGTCTCCCGTTTTCAAAAAATCATAACTTCCTACTAACATGATGTTTTCGAATGCCTAGAACCTCGTTGAAAAGAGCAATTCATGCGCTGAACATCTTAGATGCCTTCTAATAAGTTCTGAACGCAGAGATAAAATTATAGAAATTATATTACTTCAAGTTCGGAATTTTTAAGCAAGCCCCTTGAAAAACTGTGCCATAAAATCCAAAATAGCCAGTAGTCCAGGTTTTCTGATCCCCTCTTTCTATATGAGCAAAATTCGCTCTGATGCGCTCTTCCTAAAAAAGTTATGATTTTCAAGAAAAAATGCCAAAAAATCAGCTTCTTGAGAAAATTAACTTTTTAACATTTTCTTCAAAAAACCATAACTTCCAAAATAACAGATCGATCAGCGCCAATTTTGCTCAGCTATAAAGAAGGGAGGGTTCAAAAGTCTAAGATACTGGCTGTTTCGGATTTTATGGCACAGATTCAGATTTTTTGACGGGCTTGCTTAAAAATTCCGAACTTGAAGTGGTTTCCTTTTCCCAATTTTATCTCTGCATTCAGAGCATATTAGATAGCATCCAAGAAGTTTGTAGAAAGCTAAATTGCTCTTTTCAACAAGGTTTTAATCATGCAAAAACATCACGTTAGGAGGAAGTTATGATTTTTTGAAAATGGTGGGACAGAACTTTCGGACCAACCTAATATTTCCAACACCGGTCCACCCCGTAGGCTACTTTTCGCGGCGAAATTCCGACTCCTTCTGTATCTATCGGTCTTGACGAAAAATGAACTTTTGTTATTCAATATCAAGGCAGTTCCAACGTTCTTTTCAAAAATAACGTGAGAGCTCTTTCCATTCCACAATAGTGAAATGCGGTAAATCAAGGATGCGATCAAGTTATATCTGGCCGGTGTTCTAGGAAAAAAGAAGAACGCCGAAACGCATTAAGTTAAGACTTTGGGTTACGCACCAATTTTTTTGTTGGCAACTCAAACCCACGGTGCGGGCAAGCCAGGCATACAGTATCATATATGAGACATGTCCTCCATAAGTAAAAGATCGACTAAAACAACAGAATCATAATTGTTGAGAAGCATAGTCAAAAGCGGTCTAGTTCTTCGATAGACTGCGCAGATTAGATCATGCAAATGAACACTTGGCTCCAGACAAAGCATCCAAAGATTGCAAATTCTACAATTCATCCTGAAGAAGCCGTTCCTTGAGTTCTTCATTTACAGCGACGATTATTTCTGACTTCTGTCCGGATAAGTAATCTCTATGGCAAAGAGGTTGCTTTTTATTGAAAACAAATATTGTAAACCTCTCTGCTACTCGTCTTAGAGCAAGAGGTTTGCCCCGCCTGATCACTAGTTAACGGTTTTTGGGTTTACGTTTGGCTTACCGTGTGTATGGTTTTAGGATTTTCCTCGTAGAAAAATAGAGAAATTAGGAGCACAGTAAAAAGAGTCGGTGAGGATCAACCTCTTCAGAGAAAAGCTAGAAATTCCTTGAAAATACCAGCAAACTATTTTACCTGAGCTGTTGGGGAAAAGTCCATGATAGGCGCGGTAAGCGTGCGCATGAGCCAGAAGCATATGATGCCCAGCTAGATACTCAGCCCATGAGCAGTGCTCCTGTAATTGTTTACAGTTTACCGGTTTTCACATCTGTTTAGATATCCAAATATGGTTTTCTAACGTATTGTTATACTGTAAGGGAAAGTATAATACAGGGTGTCCCAAAAAAGTTAACACTGTTTGATCGCTAAAAAACTCTCTTGCGTTCATGTCTTTTGGTCTTTTGCCGAGCTTGAGGTGCCATTCTGTAAAGCGAGGATCAACTTAGATGAATAGTATGGAAGGAATTTCTGATCTTTCTTGGTTACTGTAGGATAACGGTAGGAACTCGAGAAGATATTAGTAAACTGAAAGCGATTTTTGCCTCTGAAGGAAAACCAAACAAGCTAGAAACTCTTGTACAGGGCTAATCAAAGTCGTTTATTCTTAATATGAACTTTGCACTTCACTGTAATGCTTCTTTAAGTTATTTCAGGTTCAGGGTGACAACTGCTTTTTCAGTGTTTGTCAGAAGTGTGACTACACCAATTAGAAAGCTCGAAAAACTGGTAAAAAGTTATGCAGAATCAGCATGCCTGGAAACCAAATTACACTTGGACTTTCTGGATTTTTTTATTGAAAGGCCTATTCCACAGTGGCGCTATATGCTGAAATTTTATACCGTAACCCTACGGTAACTAAGAAAAATAAAAGATTCACTTCATGCTGTAAATCTAAGTTGATCCTCGCTCTACAGAATGGCTTCTCAAGCTTGGCGAAAGACGTAAATGTAAGAGAGTTATTAGCGATCAAACAGTGTTAACATTTTTTTGGGACACCCTGTAGTTGTGTTATGAACTGCGAAAGTATGAGAGTAAAATGAATTTTTTTCACGCTTGTTCGATAGCGCCAAGAGTCATTCTTGAGGTCACTTTCTGTAAAAGTAGCTAGTATTTATTAACATGCTTTTACTGCAGAAAATATTCATGTTGCAGTAAATCGTACATGCTGTGCCTTTATCAAAAGTCTCATGGATCAGGCAACTTTCAAGTGTTGAAGCTACTATTCTCTCTGTAAATTGAGCGCAAGATTACGGTAGGGAAACAAACTAAGCGCCAAGCTCTCTTGACATTTCAATGCATTACAATCAATAATCAGTGTTCCATCAAGAAACATTAGATAGAAAGATTTTCCAAAGCATCTCAATTGGTCGGTAGCTTGAGATATAAGACTGAAAAAATATCCTTACTTGAAATCCTCCAGGGGCATGTTCTCCTCGCATTCCACAATATCCTTCGTGCGCTTGACTCATCGGCTCATTGAGTGTAAGCCATAGTTTTACCTAGAGGAGGAAAAGTTTTGGATGTTATGATGTGCATCTAAATGTTTCCAATATTCTCAATCTCCACTGCACTACCAATGATATTAGCTTAGAGAGCGCAAACTTCATCATGTAAGTATCTTCACAATTTCGCGGACAACCTAATAGATAGGCAGATGTGAAAAGAAACATGTATCCGTCTCTTTACTCAATTGCATACGAACAATTTTTTTCCGGCTATATAACAACAAGCAAGCTTTTTTGAACCTTCATCTTCTGCCTGCAAATTTCATCGCTAAATTATTTGCTGTCATCAGCGTTTGTGAAAAAGGCTCGAACTCACATCCCAGCCTGAACGTGCTGTTTATAGAGAGTAAAAAAAGAAGAGAAGATCATTTCTTTTTTCTTAACGGAAGGGTATGGAACAATTTACCTTATCTCCATATTCCTTGAAGCAGAAAACGGCGTAAAGGCGGAACCATTTGACAATCTCACGATTCAACCATCCTCCTTTATCGCTTAGCGCTAAGGGGAGGTCCCAGTGGTACAAGGTCACCTGAACAAATCTTATTGAGGCTATTGAAGTAAGCCTGGGATTTTATATTTCTATCGTTTACCATAGGTTGTATCCCATTCTCAAGAAGAGCATCAATAACCTCGTGGTAGTACTTCACACCTTTCGGGTTTGGTTTACCAACACCAGTGGGAAAAATTCGCGGCCAAGAGAAAGAGAATCGGTAATGAGTCACCTAAACCATGCTATTAGCAAGTTCGAAAATAACTCGTAAAACTTACGCCAAGTTCCTTCATCAACTGTATATCTTCCCTGAACTTGTGATAGCTGTCCGATGCTACGTCTGCGGTTGAATTATCCCTTATTTTCCCAGGTTTTGTGGTGTACTCATCCCAGACAGAGAGTCCGCGTCCTTAACACCAATTTAGCAAGTGTAGCTCTAAATATATCATCTTTACCGTCTTCTCGTGTAGCTCCTTCTATCTGGAAAGCTGCCGTGGCAGTGGACCATTTGAATCCTTTTGGGAAATAGTGATACTCGGGTTGTGGTTTCTGATGATTATCCGCTATTTCATGGTACAATTTTTTAACACTGTTATCTTGATAGTTTGATTTCTAGCTTTTTTCCTGCCTCTATGTTCGAAGAATTTCTCCAAACAAGCGCATTGCAGCTAAGATATGTATTACAAAACGACTGTTCCGATCTAGATATTTTCATTCTGACAGATAATTTCCACGTGAAAGTGAATCAACTTGAACTCACTGGTACACATTCGGCATCTGCAAAGCTAGAAATAGTTGTGGCAAGAAGCAATAGCCGTAGGAACATGAAGCTAAGTTTGTTAAATTGAACAGACCTAGTTAGAAATCTGAAAAATGTGTGTTTTTGAGGTTGCTCTCTAGAAATGACTGTAAGAGCCGAAGGAATGAGGAGAGTTAACTACAGCAATGAGTGGAAATATTGAAAAATAAAAGAATCTATGAAAATCTTTGGAAATTTGAAAAATGCAAGCATTGAGATTATTATGTACAAGTATAGCTCTAAGAAAACATCAGTTGTGCTAGGAACTGCTTGCATCGACTAGAAACTATGTCAAAGAAGTTCTATTTTGGCAACTACATATGTGATGTGCAGACGTAGTAAAAACACATTTTTATTAGTAGAAAAATGCGAAAAGTGCTGAAAATCTATAGTCTACCAGCGTTAGAACTTTTGCGGCGCTCCGCCTACTCTATAGCTAAAGCAGGAAGCCACTGCTCATCTGCCAGCTTCCCGCTTTTAGTTCACAATAGCATGGAGCTTCAGTTCAGACAAAGTGGAGAAGGGCTGATTGAAGGGGAGGACGGGGCTGGAAATTGTGCAAGTGACTTGTTTTTGCTTGTAAATAATCAAGAAAATTTTTCAAATCTTGTGAAAGTTCAAAATGTGAAGAAATTTTTACAAGTAGTTTTCAAGAAGTGGATCGATTTCCAAGAAGTGGATCGAGGCGGCATGGCTGCCGTCTCGCTCTCGTTTTATCTGGAAGTTGAGTTATAGACTAGCAAAAATTCTAGACAGCATCCGGTTTTGGAAAGGCTAATGACTAATGCAAGAACCCTTCCGAGAGTCACTATGCTGTAGGATTGATCAATAATGTGTTAAAATTTGATACTTATTTGCTCAGGTAAAAAAATCTACTGGATCTCCAGGAATGCTAAGCAAAGATATGTAAGCTCAGGATTCTTTGCGTGGGATAAGTTTTATGGACGAATAATAAGTGAGCCAATCATTTGGGTTTGTTGACTTTTAAGACACAAAATTTTCTTCTAATTGCGTGACTCAGTGAACCCCTTCTGCATAATTTGTTGTGCATAAAATGCAGTTTACAAAAAAAAACGACATTGCTACATGCATACTCGATAGCGTAAAAACAGAGAGCAAGGAAGAACCTGTTTGCATTGATAGCAAAGAAAGCTGTGCCTTTCCTTTATGTAAACACGGGTGACCGCGTGAGTGATCACTTTTGAATTATCGCAGTAACAGCTGGCTCAGCAGAAAGCAGGCAAATACACGCATTAGGCCCCGGGCAGACTTCACGCGATTTGATCATCGCGACTGAATCGCGACGAGACAACTGTTACAACGTCATTCCATGGCGATCAACTTGCATTCGGTTGTGATACTTTTCCAGCCCGCAATTTTTGAATGTGAAATGAAAATGAATGGAAATCTTGGCGATTAGATCGCGACGATTAAGTCGCGTGAAGTCTGTCCTAGTCCTTACTCAAAGGTATTTGCATCGGTTTTGAATTTTGTGCTTGGAAAGAAAAAAAATTGACGAATCTGTCTGCTATTTACGCTGTAAAAATGTTGGATTGCACAGTGTCGCGCTATGTCTGCATGCATGAACATGCCCGCGAAGGGGAGCGCAGCTCAAAATAAAGCTTTATATCCTGAAGTTCCAGTAATTTTGATTTTTCTTCTGTCCATCTCAGCTGTTTCCATTAGTTTCACTTCAGACATACTGAACGAAAACATGTGTTACAAGCTGCATTCCAGCTTTTTACATGCTCCCCGGTAATCCCTAGCGATTAACTCGAAGCCTTTTGCTCGAGGCCGTTTTTCTTTACTCGAAGCTAATGCGAACGTTTGAAGTTGAAGTGTTTGTATTTGAAAGTGCCAAGCAGGAAATGGTCAATAACCCAGCCATTCTAAACAGGCTGTATATCATCGGACTCGCCCTGAAACGCTGATTTCAAATTAATTTTCATCAAATGCCGAACGATAATCTGGAAGTAGTTCCTTCAAATATGAAAAATATTGGGTTGTTGGGTAATTTCTGTTACCCTTTTTCTAATTTTTGAAAATTCTAGACGCTCCATGAAAATCCTAGATTTGAGACAAGCTTAGGACATAGCAGGGTCTATCCACCACCATGATTGATGCCGCAAGTGCACTAATGACCTAAAAGTTTACGACAGTTTTGTAAATGAACTCAAATTTTCAATTTTTGTCTGATTTTTTTTCCTCTGCACCTTCCTGTGCTTTTCCTCTTTTGGAATTTTTTAGAACTATTTTGGCATTGTCTTTTACAAGAGGCATTTCAGCGCCTTCAATGTTCAAAAACGAGGGGTGAAAAAAGTATCAACAAAATTCAAAAACTTTCTTAATCTTCTTTTCATGTGCAGCGTGTAGAAATGAATACAGAAAGCCCGAAAATGATTGTTTAAATTTTTTTTCGAAGTCATTTTCTTCATAAGAATGTGATGATTTCAATGATGGCGCACACTGACATTTGAACCGCTCAGAAAAACATGTCTGCGTCATCCCCCCCCCCCCCCTTATTTGCTAAACGCTACAGATTATGCCCTTTCCATACCACATTGTCTCTGGTCTTTCGGTCATCGCCTGAAAGAATGCAGTCCATTTACAAAAATGAAAGCACAACGGGTTTTCGGCAACAAATGGGTGTCTTGCGCGAACGCGGATGTCGGTACCGATGAATAGGCATTTTGACCCTGCCCCTATGTCGTGAACATGAGGTCTTTCCAAACTTTCTGAGATTTTTTAAGAATTGAAATGAAAAGTATGACAGAATTTATCCGACAACCAAATAATTAGAGTTCTAGCTTTAACTCGTCGCATCGCAGCCTGAGAGCGCGTAATCACAGAGATGAGTGTTTTTACTACAAGGAAATAGCACATTCACCAAAAAATGTGTTTTTTGAAGGATATTCATGGAACGTGCGCTATAGATTACTTAACAAGAGTACAGCACATTAGCACATACAAATCCTCCTAACTCCTTCCGAATAATCGTTCATCCGCCAATAAACGTATATTTGAGATCAACGTCTCAAGGCTCGTACCTTGATATACAGGGTGTCCCGAAAGGATGTGCCTACTGTTTGGTTGTTAATAACTCTCTTGTAACGACAAAAACCTATGATGCCGCAAGAAAATGCAGCAGAGAAGACCACTGATTTGAACCGACAAACAAATAACTCGAGTTATCCAGATAATCAAATATGTAATTACCCAAAATTTCTATGTGCTTGAAGGCACCGTCCACCCTAAATTGAGGGTGTTGAGCATTTGGCAGCATATAACAGTAGGGCCTCCCATCAAGCCAATGCCCAAGTCGCGGCGCAAAATGCCGCTTCGGAAGCGAGAAAATCCCTTCGGAATAGCGAAGATGCGCGAGGACCCCCATCCATGCCCGCCCTCCCCCATCCATGCCCGCCCTCCCCCATCCATGCCCGCCCATTTGTGCGCGTCCGTCCAATCACCGTTTCGGAAAGCTGGCCTGTGGGTTCTCCGGAACGGGGATTGCCGGGGTTTTCGCGCAATCTCGACTTCATATTCGGAATCAGGGACATGAGAAGGCTCTGAAACGACAAAAATATCGAAGACGAAAATCTGGGTGGACGGTGCCTTTAAAGGCAGCGTACACTCAAAATTTTGCCTACCATGTTTTTGCCATTCCGGGGCCTTTCCGTGGCTCTGATTACAGTTATGAAGTTTAAATAGTACAAAACCACAAAAAGGCGATTCCTGGGGACCCTGTCCTGAGGGCGCGGGCGGCTTTTAGTACTTGGGTGGGCGGGGTCTGATAGGACTTTGGCTGTTCCAGGCCCATTATCTCCATTCAGAGACAACTTTAGAAGACCGGACCAACGCAGATGCCCCTCTCGTGGGGCCTACATTTAGGATCGGCCCTTACCGGAGGGAGTTAGATTTAGCCTGGACTCACTGCCTTTAATGATTCATTTGTACGAAGGATCACGTCCAATTCGATTACTTGATTATCCAAATTCCAAAGGACCGAAAATCGGAGTTCGAATCTCGAAAACCGCAAATTAAAAAATATTCGTTAGTTCGAATATTGAAACCCTATTGTTCGGAATTCGCTCGTTCTATAAAACTTTCGATCGTCACCATTACAGATCCTATGGTTTCGAGTGAAGACTTTGCAGCCTCTCCCGTCGCGATCTCGTAAAGTGGTTATTGGTTGGAAAGGAAAGAATGTGGCGTTTTACTTCCTCATGGCATCGCAACAAGGCAAACCCCTTTAATAGGGCAAAACAAGCTCTGCAGAATGGCATTACTGCTTTTGCACCAATCTCGAACATGTGAAGTTTGCAATGAACAACTGTAACGTGGTGACACTGGTGACGCGAGTCACAGTGTTGGCAGCACGTGCTAATAATTGACCAAAGCCGAACGTTTTCCACAAGTCTCAACTGGTATTTCCTCTATAAATTACAATCAAATACAAAGAATTTGGGCAGTCGTAAGAAAGGCGTATGAGCAATTCTTTACATTCCTCTCAAAGCACGCGTAGCTAATGGCACTCACATTCTGCCACCGCGTAAGGCCCATAGTGAACCCCCAGTCAAGCATCTCCCCTGAGGCGGGCCTAAGTTGATTTGAGACGGGGATTCGGTTTTTCGAGAATCTTTCGATACCGGTATTGCCAAATTTTTTGCGACATAGGGCAATTTTTGACAGCGGCCACTAAAAAATATCTATGGTGGGCGCTGTCAAGGAACAGGTACGGGTCAGGGGTCAAAACTGGTCGCAAATCGATGTCGCAACGCAACGCCAAGCAGTAGAGTCAGCTACTATCAGTACTCCTAGCGCAATGTTACTTATGGCCTCTAGTCATTATCTGCCGCCACTCCCCCCCCCCCCCCCCACCTCCCCCCGCTCCCCTCCTCTCACCATGGCGCTGGAGAGTTTTTTGTGGTATCTACAAAACTTGAGTACGGCGAGCGTTCTCCGCGCGCGGTGATTCCTAACCCGTAGTCTCACAGATTTGTCATGCAAGCAGAGACATAAATCGAGATCATAGTAATTTGACATTAGTACCCATGGGAGACCGTAATTTATGTAAGATAAAGATAGAGATGATCCTGCATTTTTTGACAAAAATTAGGATTTGAATGCGATAGCCGAGCGAAATAAATAGAAAAACTTGACATCCGAGTATTGTGGCAGTCGGCTGTTCATTGATCCTTCATATCTATATGCTGCCCCCAAATTGTGTAGTTTCGCACTTGTTCTCAGACAGTTGACGGCATACCTCCGGAGCAGAAATGGCAGAGCCGCGGGTTTCCCCAGCGGGGTTTGCCACTCGTGCTCCGGAGCCCTCCCATTTTGTGCTCCGGAGACCTCCCATTTGTGCTCCGGAGGTGTCCCAAATCTGGCGTACGTCCGGAGCAGAGATTTGCAAGCCCGCCGGAGGGGTCCAATCTGCCTTCTTGTGACGTCACCGTGACGTCACAGAAAGGGACCGCCCCTCGCCCCGCTCTCAATGGTCAATTGGGTCCTCCGCAGCTCTGCCAGATTTCGACTGTCCTCCGGAGCTACGGCACCGATTGTCTGAGTTGTCCGCAGAATTAAGACAGCTAACGTGTGCCATAAGTGACACACGTTAGCTGTCATAATTCTGACCAAGTTACGGGATTTGTCTCTGCGTCTCCTTGCAGACGCACTGTACTCTTTGATTGTACAAGATTAGCGACTAGAGGGCGACCGCACGCACTGTGCGTCTTTCCCGCAAAATGCTCTTGGATTACTCTCTAGCCTTAAGTAGGTCACGAAACCCCGCCAATCCAGTTGAATTAAAGCGTATGCCACCTACTGCAACGGTTCCGCTTACCGCATGCAGCGCAGATCATCGCGACAGCTGATCGGTTTCTCGGCTGTCAGCTCACCGATCTTATAACACTGGAGCAAGGAGAGTTGTAAGATTAGCTTGCGTATATCCTCTGAGGGGATCAGTGCAGCTTCGACCTGAAGGGGTGTTTACTAGGCGATAATTTTTTACCAGTGGTACGCTTCTCGCTGTCCGGCCACATGGCTTTCCACTTAAAAAATGAAATCTCTAGTGTGGCGTTGTACAAGTTGGATTTGTAAGGTACTTATAGGAAAGGCTAACATATCGTTGAAATAAGTGCTAGAAGTTCAGAAGGCTGCATTGAGAAATGAGAAGTAATTTTTTCATAAACCGTTTTCGTAGCTCACTGAGCAAAATGACCCAATGTTGCTATCGTATGCTCATTCAAGGCTATAAAAAGCTTCAGCCATGGCCAGCACCATTCATTTTAGTCATGTTGGCTGAAACTATTCACTCGCATCTACTATTCATTCTTGCTGTGAGCTACATTTATGGTTGCTTGACTCACGCATACTTACAGTGCATCAGACCTTGTCGGTAGTTCCCATAATCATATCGAATCCCAACAGGGGCATACCTGGACGCTCTAGGAGTAAGACAAAGGCTAATAGTGCTCTTTAAGACTACATACTTCCACCTATTGGTATTCACTTTCGTTGGTGGTTTGAATGCCTTTTCCATGATTGCTAATACTACCGCCAAGACTGCGGAAGAAGTTGGAGAGCAGATGCAGTCAATTTTGGTACAGCGATGTATAGCTTTACATTTTCTATGGAAGGACTGTCATTCAGGTAGTAGGCTCGTTCGCGCTGCATTGTGCAGCCTTAGTTTGTGCCATCGTTTGTATACTCTTCAATGATGTAGAGAAAATTAGGGTCAAAATGCCAACAATTGTTGTGAGTCTCTTTTTTTGAGCTAATGCAGTGCAGGAATAGACCAGGAAGTTCGTTTTGCAGGTTGTGGTAATCCTCACCTTTACCACGTCTTTCAATGCAGTCGCCGCTCTTCTGCTATTTTTGTACAGACCGAAGGATCAGAAGGAGCCCATAATGCTCGCGGCTGCGGTAGCATTTCCTTGATTTTTGTCATTCATTATTGTCAAGTGGGCATGGCCCTGTTGCACTATAGCTACTAATTTGCCCCAATGCATTATCGTAGAATATGAAAAGTTTTGTGCCTATAAACGCGGTAGTGCAAGAGGGCAAACCTATCGAAGGAAGAAGAAATCAGAAGCTGCTTTTTTAGGTAGTTTCTCTTCTTGCTACACTTTTTGCTATTGGAGTACTGATATATTTCTATAAAAGACCTCCAAAGGGTCCGCAGTTTCGAATGTAGGTTTACTTGCTAGATTTCATGGATCGCAGCTTCAGCTTAATTCATTTCAGCGAACAACGTCTTGATATACCTCCTCCTCCACCACCTCAATTCATCCCACCTCCTGCACCCCCTGGAGGGCCACCTTATATGCAAGAAGGAGGCAATTTCAATGCTTGAATTTGAAGTTCAAGTGAAGTCGGAACAAAAATTCTCCTTATTTAATACTCACTCAACAATCGTTGACAATAAAAATTTTACATTAGAAATAGGTTACGAAGTATTTCAGTTTGTCCAGCTCTTCACAAGACACACATAAAGACATTTAAACTCAAAAATGTATCATATCACGCATTTTCTATGCTTCTTCATGACTGAGGCAATCAGGCAGACAGATGATATGCGCAGAAAGTGTCCTGTAATGCATCTATGCACTTTGTATGTGGTTCTTTCAAGGATGATGGGTGCTCAATTTTAGGCGTGGAGTGGTAAGCTTGGGTGAAAGTCTGTTCAGACTACAAAAGGCTGTCTAACAAAGTCAAACAGTGTCTCACCAAAATGGAATGATGCTGGTCTCCAAACTTTGTTGAAGATTCCTTGAGGCGACCGCCCAAGTCCACTCGATCTAGGCTTTTCTGAGCCGAGAATTTTGTCCTCAAATTGGCCCGCAAAGGAATTTTGCTCCCGCGGTCGACGCTCCCGGTTTCCAGCTTATGCGTTTCGACATGTCTCTCCACTTGGTGTCCAACTCCATGATGTCGCTGACACGGGGCGAAGGCTAGGCTGAGAAGGCACAACTCGTCTGCGCTGCTTCCACGAGCCTTTCACAAGGATTTTGGTGCAAGGTTTCTGCATTTTATGCGAGTTGCAGTTTTGGATTTTCACTGAGTTAGACAGGGACGAAAAGCAATATGCAAAAATTCTCGACAACAAACTTTGTTGAGGCACTCCTTTAACGTAGTAAAAAATAATTCGCTAAGATGCAATTGAGCGGTTTCTGGCATCTCTTGGTGAACATACACTATACACAATCTCGGACAGTGGTAGCGGACGAGCCGCGGTCCTAAAAGGCCTTTCCGGCCCGCCCGCGGCCTTAATTTGGGAGCTTGGCAGGGGTGCGGCCGACCCGCGGCCCTTCGTTCATGTCCTTATCATTGCACGGCCGAGTCGCGGGACGAAATGGGCTCATAGGCTCAGTCGCGGCCTTTAGTGATGGGGCGGAGCATTGCAGCGGCCTGAGCCGCGACCAAATTCTGTGTGAGGAACTCCGGCCGAGCCGCGGCCTCTGTCAAATGAAGGGCGCGGCTCGGCCGGTCTTAGTGTCCGAGCGTAAAGGAACTTGCGTGATGTACGACGCATGGTCAGGCTGCCTTCAATGTTCCTTCAAGGGAAGTTCGCCGAATCGAAATGGCCGATTGATACGTGGTATACACCCGGACGCGGGGCTCGGGAGGTTAATATCAAATGTGCGCCCACTAGCTGCGACGCGTTATTGTGAAGCAAGTTATGGCCCTCTGAAGTTTTTGGCGTGTGCATGTCTAGAGTACGCACAAACGCTCCGATTGTGGTCGTGTGGTGTGGTGGTTAGCGTCTCGGACTCACAAGTGACCGCTGAGGGTTCGAATCTGTTGCTGTCCACATGTTTTGCGTTCTTCTCACAATTCATTTTTTACCTGTTTTATGCATTACTGACGTAAAAAATGACACATACGGGTGGTTAAACTCTACTAATTATACATCCTGCCGTGTCATTCTCGCAAGGTAGCCCATTAACAAGAATCAATAGTACGACGTGATACAACTTGGAGATTGTCACGTAAATACTACGTGCAATCGAAGAAAATATGTGGGAGTGAGGATTTGGCAAACCTTCAAAGTCAATTGAAAAGCCGTAGCTAAAAAGTTGTTGCTATGTTCTACGAAAATCTTACATATGAAGCATTGGTCGAATTTTCGTGAGAAAAATCATTCCGTAACCCGTGTGTGTCATTTTTTACCTCAATAATACATAAAACAGGTAAAAAATGATTTTTGAGAAGAACGCAAAACATGTGGACAGCAAAATTATTCGAACTCTCACCGGTCACCTGTGAGCTCGAGACGCTAACCACTACACCACACGACCACAATCGGAGCATTTGTGCGTACTCTAGACATGCACACGCCAAAAACTTCAGAGGGCCATAACTTGCTTCACAATAACGGTCGCAGCTTATGGGCGCACATTTGATACTAACCTCCCGAGCCCCGCGTCCGGGTATATACCACGTATCAATCGGCCATTTCGATTCGGCGAACTTCCCTTGTTAGTGTCCGAGCGTAAAGGAACTTGCGTGATGTTCACGCATGATCAGGCTGCCTTCAATGTCCATAGCCTCGGATGTCTTTAAAAGAACAAGATCGCCATGTGTCATATGAATAGTTTGGTACCAACTTGGCATTATCCACTTTTGAATAGACTTGGCTCCCAAAGTTGCTATATCGGTGGCCTTAATTTTTGTTTTTTTGATGTGCATTTTCTTATGTGCCATGGTGGGCAAAGGCCCAAATCTGCCGAGCTAGAATAAACTACGAACGACCCAATATCCAACTGCGGCTAAGCCGAGGCCCATTAGCAGCCGGGCAGAAGCCCACTCTCCGGCCGGGCCGCGGGAGCTGCAAAATTCCAGCCGAAAAAAGGCCGCGGCACGTCCGCTGCCAGTGTCTGAGATGTTTGAGAATGTTGAAAAAATTCTTTTGCGGACAGAACAGGTCTGATCTCTACAAAATAGCAGTTTCTCTCTGTAAGCTTAATTAGCAATTCTACGTCGGCCTAAGATGACTGTACACTTAGCGATATTCATAATGATTCTGCTTGGTGTTTTAGAAATCTACTGCCACGTCAGTCATATGTATGCTCACATTATCTACCTTACATGACTTGAGAATTAGTATAAATGTACAGTTGACCGCGCTAATGCGTCTAACAGTGGACGCAGGATATTAAAGTGCACGTTCGGCTCACTCTCATCGTTCTGTTGCATCTGTATAAAAAGAAGCTAATGTATGCCTTCTTTGCCTGTGCACTGTGATACCGCCCATAAACGTCTGAAGCTATCATTGCTCGTCACTTACGAACCTACTACCGAAACCCTCTAAATTTCTGACAAAGTGGCGACGCAGCAAGGACGGTCAGCGACAGCTTGAAGATAGCATCAAGACAAACTAACGCTTCTTGTGAGATTACCGCCAGTGACGCAGAGGGATGCTATAATTGCCTGACTGGAGCCGAAATCACGTTCCTATGCAGGAGCAAAACTGGAAGTGCTTTGGCATGTATCGCTTGCTTAGAACAGTACCAGTACCAATACACTACCAAGCACACTGCACAACGAAAGGATACGCAAACAAATTGCGCTTCCACTTCAACGCACCCTACATCTCCATGGGTTGCAAAGTAATCTGCCCTCAAAATACGCAAATGATCAAGATCAAAGGTCACCTACAATCGAGGACAAAACAATCATTGAAGATATCGCATCAAAGACGGTTACAAAGGAGGCTTCAAGAGACATATTGTTTTGAAAACCTTATCCAACGCTGCCCTTAGAATATTGCGAAGCTCACTGGATTTCTTCTCGAATCCATTCGAATTCTTTATGCTTTATTGAATCTTCTTGTTCTCATCTGTGTTCTGCAACACCTTTATATCATTCGATCACGCCAACTTCCTTATCGCTACCGTTTCAAACGCCTCTAAATAACTTATGGAAACATCACCTTTGCTTTCTGTTGGGAATTTTTGTAATTCTACAAAATAGCAGCTTCTATCCGTAAGCTTAATTAGCAATTCTACGTCGGCTTAAAATGACTGTACACTTAGCGATATTCATAATGATTCTGCTTGGTGTTTTAGAAGTCTGCTGCCACGCTGTCAGTCATTTGTATGCTCACATATCTATATTTTCTGTGGCGTAAATTCCGTCGAGATCGGGGTTTTCACCGTTTTTCATGGAAATTGTGGGGAGAAACAATTGCAAAAACTGATCAGCCACATAGAGAGTCTGCAGTAGCTCGACCAGCGAAACCTCAGCTTCCATGTGCTGGGTCTTCCCTTTCCCTACGTGACTTGAGAATTAGTATAGATGTAATACAGTTGAGCGTGCTAATGCGCCTAACAGCGGGTGCAGAATATTAAAATGCACGTTGGGCTCTCATCGTTCTTTGCATCTGTTGAAAAGGCTAATGTATGCCCTCTTTGCCTTTGCACTGTGATACCGCCCATAAACGTCTGAAGCTATCATTGCTCGTCACCTACGAACCTACCACCGGAACCTTCTAAATTCCAGACACCGATGTCTTTAACCTTTATTCAAGTACCACTCCGCGTAAAGCTTGCAGCAACTTGATTTTATGGCATGAAGCAAATCGGCGCTTCTCCTTATTGCTAAAGACGGTAATGCCACCATAATGGTGTTTGAAAATAAGCCGCTATCTATCATCTGTATATAAACAAAGCTCAAACTCTGCAAATTTGTTGGTTGGTTATGTGGCTTATAGACTGTTTTGTTTGTGACCGATAAGGCTGAAATTTGCTCTTCTATAAATAAGGCACGGCGCAAAAGATAGGCTACTTTCCGCGGCGATTCACTGGGCCCTTCTATCGATTTGTTGTTTTGTTTACTCCAATCTAGAAGAATGAAAACTTTTCATGCTCCAACCGATCATTTTTCCATAATCAGTAAGCAGGGGCGGTAGAGTCTATTTCTATCACGGGTCGAGGATGCGGCAAGTCTCAAAGCGTTTTTTGCGCATGTTCAAAGAAGTTTAGAAGCGTTTACAGCTTTTGTTAGCTAAGCTAGTTTGGAGCCTAGAGTGAGACCGGGGCTACCAACTAGTTTCTCATAAAAATTCATATCGCCGAGAACTTTTGTGTTGATGTTTATGAGCTAATTCCGACAGTTGACTTTGTGCAGTCAATTTTTTGGCAGAATGCTTTGAGTATATTTGGTTTGACTCCTGAACAAAGGTCTACGATAACATTACGTTTATTTGAATACCACTCCCTAATTACTTCATAAACAAATAGCTCTACTGAAACCTCTTCCGAAGAAAGATTTGCTTCTTTATTGTGCAATACCTTTTAAGTTCTTATGTTGTCGTACAGTAACGATGAAGATTTGCTTTATACCTGAGCCCTCCAGAAGGGTACCTAAAAAACTGCGCAAGACATTGAAGGCAGTGTCTCAACAAATATGGGGTAGTGCGGCGCACGGCCGACACACTCGGTTTCCTCCTCAAGCGTTTCAACATTCTCCATTTGGCGTCCACCTCCATGGTGTGCCACTGTGGCAAAGGCTAGGATGAGAAAACACAACTCGTCCGCGTTACGTCCATGGGGCTTCCGCAAAGAGGGTTTTCGTGCATTTCTCTTGCGATTTTGGATTCACATGAGTTAGACAGGGACAGAAAGGCTTGCAATATGCAGAAACCTCGACAACCAAGTTTTGGTGAGACACTGCTTTTGAGACAAGAGAGATGCTATAATAATAACAGTGCTGCTTTTTCTAAGATATTCGGCATTTGTTTATCGTTATAAGAATGACAGTCTAGCATACAAACTATGTTTTCTACTTTTGTATTCAATCCGATCCAGTCCACGATACCTGGAAATGCTGTTGTCTCTCTGACATTTTTTCCCAAAAACAGTATTTGCCGAGGACAAGGTATTCGTATCTTGACACGACCAGATGGGTAAAAACAGTGTTTGAGACCAAATGCCTCTTTTGCGGTTGATCCTTGGGACAGTCTTAGGAAACAGCCTGCATTAGTTGGAGGTTCCTCTGACAAATCTATAACTCTACCTGCCGAGCCAGTGCCCTCACTGAGGGATGATGATAAAAATAAAAGATAAAGGATTGGCTAGAATGTTGGGAGATGGCCTTTTTGGATATATCCTGCAGCCAAGCTGATTGATGACTTGTTCATCATGTCGCCCACGTGGCAGATCTTGACTTTCACTCTGCTTTGCTCAGGCAAAAGCCTCCACAGGGTATGGTCGTGCGCGAAGGTGGTGTGTAGCGAATACTACGTTCGTGTAAATTGGCACCCACACTTCAATACCCTCTGGGGCATGCTCCAAACACATTCTACATTTCACATTCAACACATTCAACACATTCATTTCTTCATGGTGGCAAGTGATTGCATGTGAGCCTTTTACGTGCACCGGAAAATTCTAGGAGGATAAAATCAACAACGAAGTGTTCCGGGTAGCACTGGCATTCAGCAAGGAATTGTATATCGTTGAGGTTTCTTGACATTGATAACAACGATACCTGCTTTTTGAAACGGTTCTGTGAAAAAAGACGCGAACCCATGGTTCTACAGGTTTTGTTCTGTCTACAGCTGAAAAGAACGTGGATGGTGATTATTAGTAGGGTCCCGCCGGCAGCCGCCGCTAGCCGGTGCCGCTTTTGCGTAGTGTTCAGTATTCCACGCTTTGTAAAATGTGAAAATATTTTGCTATTCGCTATCAGCATGTCGAAATACCCAACAAACTAAACTTGAGCAGGATTCATGGTTACGATTTCAGGACCCAGATACTAGGATCATGCGTAATAGCGGCTAGCCGCGGCTGTGGTGCGGTATGAAGGCACCCACAGATACGTTGACAGTGCACTTGGGAAAGCAGTTCACCATAGGCTACAGGCTCCCAGATATCCATCGCTTTTGCACTTTTTGCAAAATCGTGTTTGATCTGAAAATTATTTCAAATACGAATATCAATAATTTTGGCTATGAATGCGTCTCGAAAAATATTTCCACGCAGTGATGGTGCTTGATTACCAGTATTCCTTTGTAGGTAGGACAAAATGTGTGGAACCACGGGTCCGCAACTTCTTCCACGGAAAAGTTTCGCATTTAAGCAGATACCTTAGCAGTGTCCAAAGGGACCATAAAGACAGTCATTTGCTGAACGTCAGTACACTCGTGTGTTGATTCACCCGTCTCCGTAAGTCACTGTAGGGGCCAACCCATAAACGGTTAGCGCTTTGTTCTCCTAGACTATTCCCTATTTGCGGGATAGAGCCGCGGTCGAGTAGGACATTAGGCCGTCGAAATGGGAGGTCCTACGCTGATATCTTACATATAAAGCTGAATGTCTGTTTGTCTGTTTGTCTGTCTGTCTGTCTGTCTGTATGTATGTATGTATGTCTGTGTGTACGTATGTTCCGAATAGAAAATTCCATTTTTGAACCGATCCGGACCAAACTTGGCACACATACACTACGGGCCCCGGCGGGTGTCATAGGCTACTTTTCGACATCGATCGATAACGAAAAGTGGGCTGTGACACCCGCCGGGGCCCGAAGTGTATGTGTGCCAAGTTTGGTCCGGATCGGTTAAGAAATGGAATTTTCTATTCGGAACATACGGCGGAGCCGGGTAAGCCAGCTAGTTTGTAATAAACTGCGCGCCTCGCTCATTACTAGCCCTGCTAGTAGTACGCGGGGTGGAGCCTATTGGCGACCTAATGTCCCCTTCTGTTGCGACCTGGTTATAGCGGCACCTCTTACCACCATGTGCTCGTTTGCTATTGATGAGATTTTCATAAAATTTCAAACCTTTTTTCTCGTGCTGGCGGTTAGAAAACGTCAATGTTGCGAAATTATGCTTTTTGAAAGCAAAAGTTACAAGGCGCATTTTGGGCCATTCTCCCTTACTCCACCAGTGAACTCACCATGCAAAACACGGATGCTGGAATCAAGTAGCACACGCTACTCTGCAAAATACATGTGAATTCGTTTAACCATCATCTTCTCAGAGCGAATTATCCAGTCACGGACGTAGAAACATAGAATCATCAGCAACATTGGAAGAACATCGTTACCAATGCGATAACGGAAAAAGGCCAGTGTTATCTAACCTGTGCAATCCCAGAACATATTTCTAGCCTCATGCTCTATGTATCATTTCAGCAGAAAAGACGAAGAAGACAATAGTTCATTTTGACATTACTTGACCCCACTCACAAAGTAGAATATAAAAGTTTGAGCATAGTACAGACAGTATTTATACATTAATATAACAAATACACCAATTAATTAGGAGGTGGTGTAAATCGTTTCTCTCGAACATTGTACAGAAAACCCGTGAACTCGTCCATTTGCGCGATTCGTTTGTTATGCAGGAAGATGTTCGGATAGCGGTCGAAGAGTTGGGGGCAGTGATAAATGATAGGATTGAACAAACAACACACCAGTAGATCACACCATGTCATCTGCAAGAAGTGAAAATTACCAAAACAAGTGGTTAGACACGATAAGAAGTAAGAAGAGTGGATCTTAGTGGAAAACCCGCCAAAATTCCTTGAAGAGTAATATTTACCAATGCCAAGCTCTGTGCCTCCTTTCCCCTCCCCTCTCCCCATTCCACATGATGAATTTCCATTTTGGTAGGGATTTCGAAGCTATGCAATCAATCTTAATTCAAACGAATGAATTTTTTTCAATCAAAAAATTCAACTTTGTGGTGGAATTTAAGAGTTACATAGAGTTACACACCCTGACGATCACCCCAAACTCGTACAAGGGAGTAAATATGGTTACATCCTTCTATTTTCTATTTTCTATCCTTCTATTAACTATTTTGTTGAACCTCTTCTCCACAGATAATATATGAGCGTAGTCATCGTTGTCTACGTAGTGAAAATTTAAGTAAAAATATTCGCAAATGCATTCAGAGCTAACCACAGACGTTGGCTCAATTTTTAATCCAGTGGGAAAGGCGAAGAAGACATTAGTTCGTTTCGACATTTCTTGACCCCACTCACAAAGTAACAAGAACAGCTGCTCAAAGGCACCGTCCACCCAAAATGAAGATTGGCGAGATTATGATGGCATACGGGCCCCCACACTAGGCAAACCCCCAAGCTTCGCCGCAAAAGACTGCTTCTGGAGCGAGAAATCCGCTCCGGAAGTAGCAAAGTAGGCGCGGCGACCAAGGTCGCCCCGCCCACTTGCATGCTTTATTTTGCCTGCGCTTGTTGCGGAGGGTTCTCGAAACAGGGATTTTTGGAGGTTTCGTGGATTTTCGACTCCATATTCGGAATCAGGGCTTTCAGAAGGCAAAAAACAAAAACATTGAATTCGAGATTCTGGGTGGACGGTGCCTTTAACGGCTTTGATAATTTCACTGCTTTATTTCAGCTTCGAATACACCTTAGCACTCTGAGCAGAGTACGGTAGATAAATGATACGTAAGAGCAATCCCCAAATCACCATGTCCCAGTTCATCATACAGAGTTTCTTTAACTCAAAATGTCGGTATAATTTTAATCAGAGCACATGTTAGACTTTATTTAATTTTATATGGGAACGGAAAAAAGTTTCTTGTATAGATAGTGTAGAAAATATACTTTCACAAGAAATAAAATTCCCATGGACGCTCAACCGCTGGCAGTTGCTTTCCAAAAATAGTAAAGCACGCAGTCATCAAGATGTCACGCACGATCTCAGTCAGTCGTGCGTTTTGCTGCATTCACGTATTACTCGTTTCGTAAATGTTATCATTTCTCTTTTATGAATTATGGGATAGCGGCAGCAGTGGAGAAGAAAAAAGTGTCCACATAAAACGTAAAATTTTTCTTTAGTTTTCATTCAACGTGGTTCAGAAAGGTATTCCAAGAATGCACACATTGTTTATGTAGTCTACTTTTTGAAAATCGATTACGAATGGAGCTTCAGATTCTATGCTTAGGTTAGTATATGCTTAAAAATGTGTGAAACGTTTAGTTTTTCGCTGGGCAAAGAAACTTCTTGGAATGTTAAATTCTTCGTGGTAGCTGCAAAAAATTATTTACTCTACCAGATTTTGAATAAAAACCCTGACAGGTGCCAAAAGGCAATCATGCAAGCTTGCAAATGCATTAGAAACTAGCTTTTGAAATGACAAAAGCCCATAAATTGCAAAGATTGTAAAAATTTTGATACTAACCTTATCCGAAATTAGCCATGGTGACCTGTTCCGCCGCAAAATATTCTCAATAGTGGGAAGAAGGTATGACTCCAAGAGCCTCACGGGTTCATGTGAGTCACAAGAGTCCTAGAAAAATAACCTTATTTCAACCTGATGTCTAAGAATTAATGATTATACAACTTACGTCACATTCGTGGTCTTCCCGATGGTCCAGATGGTCGAGCCAATTTTTGATTTTCATCCGAGCCTCAAAAGTTTTCTCGGCAATCATATCGACCTCGGAATCCTCGCCGGCAGTTCGCCCGCTTAGCTCTAAAGAGCTATTTCGGAAGATAATTGCGGAAAGTTAGTTGTGCTTTTACCGTATCTCCATCCCAATTGTCGGCAAATGGATGGAACATTGCCAAGTTTGCGTTCATTGATTTCGAGCATTGGGAGGGTGTAGAAGGGGTAGTCTGAAAAAATTAGAAGCTGTTAAGTAGGCTATAAAAACTGTGATCGACACCAGTTGCGGACCGACCGAGAAGAGGAGAGTGGGTTGCGAATTTTCGGAAGTTGCTTGCATGGGTTTAAAAAAAAGCAAATGACTTGCTTAAAATTGTAAATGATTCGAATGATTTTTTCGAGCTGAATAATCAAATTAATCTTGTAAGAAATTTTTTTCGAAAATGGCCACGCCCTCTTTTCCTGAAATTTCGAGAGTATAGAGCCGCAAAAAACTGAGGAGCGCCCCAAAAAATTTTTCGGCGTGCGTAGCTAACTAGTGCCACGCAAATTCGTAAAATTTTTTGCTCCCCCCTTCCCCCTTCGAACGAAATTCCTGGGACAGCCACTAGTTGACACGTATCAGGAGCTATTTATTTAGCAACGTTTTCTAAGCGCAAAGCTCATTTTTATGAGATCATCCACTGAAAAACTCATTGTCAAACAGGTCACAAAGCACAAGCAAAGTTTTTTTTCAAGAAAAAAACTTGTGTAACTCCACAACTCAAAAAAAACATCTGCGAACCTTCGAGAATATAATCATCCTTGTCAATATCCTTGACATCATACGGAATGTGCGCATAATTCAAGATCATTCGAATAACCTTCGACTCCTCCCCGTCGCTGAAGTCATGAAGCACGAAATGTGGTACACGAAAATCCTCCATCTGAAAGCATGATTGGTGTTACAGCTTCTCTTAAGGCAAATAGAATGTAATGGAAGGATGAAATGACTCACGTATTTATTGTGGTTTTCGACCGATGATGAGACAGTCACTTTGATGAAGCGGAATGGCGTTGATGTTTTCTAAAATGATGACTAATTAGGTGATGACAATGCGGATGAAATAATAGAGTTGTTGACACACATTGTTTTTTACGGTTCCAGAGGTTGAAGAAGAAGAAAATTTGGAAATGCGCTTATCAGCGTAAAAAATGTGAATCTAGAAGATGGGAGTGCTTCAAAATAGAAGTAAGGAGTTTCCGCACGACGGCAAGAATTTTTGTTATTAAAAAGATAATGTTGCGATGAGCCGAATGTTGTAACATTACTGTGTAAATACAGCTGACATGACTACTGGACAGTCAAACTAGCAGGATGAACTTTTGTTATGGTAGAAATGTTACTTTATATGGTTTGATGCGGTCAGCTGAATGTTGTAAACACCGAAGTAAGACTATAGCAAAAATTTTCGTAAACGAAGAAAATAAGGGGTTAGCATGAGTTATGTAAGCATTAAAGTGTGATTTTGCTTCTATATCAGAGGAAAAGACTTGAACTAAGTTCTTATTTTACCTCATTTTGCGTCCTCACATCGAAAACCATTCGAATGAGACGAGACCAGAGAGTGTAAGAAAGCTCTAGAGATGAGGTGGATCAATGCCATTCACCTCATGGCGGGCAATTTTCGCCAAAAGACATGCGCTGATTTATCTCTTGCCTCACTTCCTCTTATCCGAAGATTTTTCACATTTATCTCATGAAGCTATATTGGGTAAGCTGAAGAAACTAACTTTCGGAGAATCTCGTTAGTTTTCTCAAAGTTAAATTAGAAGATGTTCTGTAGATATTGTTCAATTGTTTTTATTTTTTTATCTACAAAACATGCCAAGGTTTTACAAAAAAGAGACATACAATCTACTAGAAAATGTTCAATATGCAGAAACAATGAAATTGCCGAAATTCATTTCGGGAAGGAGAACGGATCAGAGTTTTTTAGTCGTTAAAAACCTATTCAGAGAAGGTTGAGCATACACAGTATAAATTTTAGGATGTTGAAGATTCAAAAAAGCGGAGAGGCGTCATAGAGGGACATCAGATCAAGCGAGACGTGAAAAAATTCTTATGGAGCTAGCTATCTGTTAGGAATTTTGCAAAATCCTACTAGTCAGTAATCAGCAGAAAACAAGGCTGCTAATTTTTATAACCAATGTAGGCAGCTTCCAGAAACTTCGCAAACTATCACAAACTTGTGTCAGCTACCACTGGAAAGCGGTGATCAAAGAATTAAAAATTTTCAAATCGGGATTATGAAAACAATCAGAATGTAGAATAAACTGGAGAGTCAAGAACCTCGGAAGCACAATGTTGAACACTTCAAAAATTTCCTAGAAGCATAGAATAATCTTAGACCTAAGAAAAAGAGCTGATGCAAGATCCGCCACAAGAGCTGCAGTGAAGATTGACTGTCACTAATACAATTTTTTTTAGGTAAAAAAAGTTATGAGGGAGAAAAAGCGACGGCAATTGCGCCATGGCCAACTTGTCTCAAAGTGATGAAGCGAACGGCGCGGCTGCACTCAATCATAATCAGCGATGATATGCCTTTTGAATATGGCAGTTCCGAGACACACCGATCACATTTACTGTTGTGGTTACGGCGTTTTGGTGCACAAACGACTGAAGAGAGACACGCAAAAGTTTGAAAAAACCCTCGACTTCAAAATTTATTGAGGACAAGTGCTCTAGAAACGTCGAGTAGCACGTATACTTTGTCCTTTGAACCGCAAATGGATTCGAAAAAAGAATCTTGAGAAAAAGAAGTCGAAAAGACTTGCGTTTTTATTTTTTTCCTCTTTTGAGTGCACCTTGAGTGTGTAAGTCAAGTGAAGCAAAGTAAATATAGTTTTTTAAGCCAAAACTGAACTTGTTTATACTATATTAGAAATAATTACGCTTCTCTAACGATGTTGGCCTTTGGAGTGACGGTATGCTGCTTTGCGAGAAAAAAACCTTTCCAAATATTTGCGTATAGAATCAACTGCGAGGTGTAGGGTATAGAGTGAAAGAAAGGAGACAGTCCCATGACCCTCTAAAAAATATTGGTATCACAGGCAGGCGAACAGAAAAGCGAAAGGGCACTTTATCCCGAACATGGGTCGTAAAAAAATTTTGAGGTAGTCTACATTTTTTGCACAAGTTGATTTACGAATTATCCATAAATTCAAAGAGCGTCGACATGGCCATTTTTGCAAGTTCTCAATGTGAGCCACAAAATTCCGAAAGCATTCCAAAACATTTTCTGAAAGGCCTCTTCACTCAAAATTTATATACCCTCTCCGAAAAGTATCTCGGACCCCTAGTGACCATAAGATTCTGGAGGATAACCACTGCTAAAATTAGGAGCTTCTTTCCAGAACGATAGTGCATTAATGATTACGACTCCAGAGAGTAATCACTAATGTCTTATCGGTTTGTAATATCCGCGATTTGCACTTGAGGATTCTGAGAAGCTGCACAAGCCAAAAATTGCACCAACTACGGCATCGTACTACCTTCTGCAGATTTATGTTGAAAATACATAAAACGTCGGAACATGTTTAAAAACACTTGGAAGCTCTACCCGGCTCGGCATAGTAAAAGATGACTGTAAGAGTTCGGGTAGGTATACAGCTAACACGGATAAATCAATAAAGTGACTAGAATTTTCAACATGAAGCGATTTTTTCTGAGAATAAGCATAATCATGTTGCAAGCATACTCGACTCGGAATAGTCACGCTAGCTCATTGTAATTCATCAATTTTTGTGAATTATCACTTTTTGCGCCTTTGCTAAATAAAGCCAGATTCCTTCGTGCAAATTTTATTCTAGCATGATGGTAACAAATATGAGAATTCTGGAATTTATCATGGTAACGTGTATACATTATTCGAATTTTGCAAAAAACGCTTCCCGTCAGACTATAGCGTAGTCGTAAGACAGTAACAAACGATAAAGGTATTTGATTTATGGTTTGAGCACGAAAAACGCAGAATACAGTGTCGGAAGAATACAGCAACTAGCTCCCAATTAGAGAATAGCATCTACAAGCTACCAAATGTCATCTACCATAGTAGCTGAGACGGTACAAGGACCGGTAGAAAACATCACAAAAGATGAAGTTCGCGCAGCCATAGCGAAGACGAAGAACGGCAAAGCAACCGGCCCAGACGACATCCACAGCGAATTCTGGAAGAGGTGCGGACAAGCTGGAATCACTTGGCTAACACAGCTTCTCAATCGGATGATCGAAGTCAAGAAGATGCCGCGCGATTGGTCCAGAAGCACAACGATTCCAGTATGGAAGAAGAAAGGAGACATAGCCGATTGCTCCACATATCGTCCTATACGTCTAACGAGACACACGCTGAAGATCTTCGAACGAATACTAGAAATGAGACTCCGAAGCATCATAGAACTAGCTCCCAATCAGTGTGGATTCGTGAAGGGCTGTAGCACAACAGACGCCATCCATACCGCCAGAATAATGATAGAAAGAAGCAGGGAGAAGCAATGTGAACTACATGCGGCGTTCCTCGACCTGGAGAAGGCGTTCGACAAGGTACCACACGACATCATATGGTGGGCACTACGAAAGCACAAGGTGCCAGAAGAGTACGTGCAATGGACGAAGATGATATACAAGAATGCTACCAGCCACGTACAGGCAGCAGCGGGACCGACGAAAGAATTCCAGATACGAGCCGGCGTACACCAAGGCTCTGTACTCTCACCGCTCCTGTTCAACACAGTCATGGATGCAGTGGTCGACGGCTTCATATGACAACCACCATGGACGCTCATGTACGCAGACGATGTTCTCCTACTGGCAAGAAGCAGAAGAGAGCTCCAGATGGAAGTGCAGAAGGATGAGCTTGAGATGCATGGACTGAAACTGAACACGACGAAAACGGAGTATATGAAACTGGGAACACAGACACCTGGGACAATCCAGATCGGAGGCACGCAACTCAAGAAGACCTCCTCCTTCAAGTACCTGGGAAACAGTATCTCCGCAGATGGCAACCTCCGCGATGAGATAAGCAGTAGAGTGAATGCAGCGTGGATGAAGTGGAGAAGTATCACAGGAGTCCTATGTGATAAGCGGATGCCAAGAAAGCTGAAGTCCCTGATATATCGCACGATATTTCGACCAACGGCCTTATATGGAAGCGAATGCTGGCCATGTAAAAGTGACGAAGAGAGAATGATCAGTGTAATGGAAACACGAATGCTGAGATGGACCACAGGAGTGACGATGCTAGACCATGTCCCGAATGACACTATACGAAGCGTAATGAAAGTGACACCCATTGTAAAGAAGATGCAAGAAAGACGTCTACAATGGTATGGACATGTGAGCCGAAGAGAAGAAAACCACATTACGAGATTGGCCATGTCAGTGGAAGTGCCAGGGAAGAGACCAAGAGGAAGACCTAAGATGAGATGGCTGGATAAAGTCAAAGCAGATATGAGAGAGCTTGGTATAAGAGGAGAGCAGGCCTTGAACCGAGAAGAATGAAAAAGATTGACAAGAGCGGTAGACCCCGAGTGACGGGAGAATGCAAGGATAAAAAAAAACAGTGTCGGAAGGCCTTATTTTTCGAGCTATTTATACTACAGTGCTGGACATAATTATACAGCCACTCTAGAAATCGTCGTAATTTTTGTTCTTGTCAATGAATCTGTCTGAAACTTTGCTGTATTGTGCGCATGTCAACCTACCATAACCCCTCAAAACGGCTTCCAGTCTTGTTGACTTTGAACGGAGAAAAACGAAAAAAATCACTATCGCATTCGCTGACTCTCAAATTTTTTGTACAATTACATCCCAAAATATGAAACATTTGCGACACGTACGGCCTGTCTTCCTACTTAAATAGAAGCAATCGCTGCATTTCTTGCTTTTAAAAGCATTAAAAGTCAATCTCCTTCAACAAACAACTGCTTTAAAGAGTTGTCAAGCTCTTGTTCATTCCAAATGATAATCATGGAATCTACTGACCCTTCTGAATAGATGAGGTGAAGAGCGCTTTCGTAAACTCTGCGTAATCGCTGATTTTGACGGACACACTCCAACCTCACCATAGGGTTGACGCACTTTTGCACTACGAAACTCGATTTTCAAGCGACAGAAAATACTGTAATGTAGCCATTACGACAGCCATACAACAGTGAACTCGTGTGCATGACTAGGAAGAAATTTCGGGACTGAGCACTCTGATTCAGCCGCAGTTGACATTCACTGAATGTTGGGTGGAGCACCCTGTACAATCAAAGCCAACTCAGATCACGAGATAAAACCGGAGACGCTTAAAACTTCAAAATCTTAGCTAATCTCATTCATCGGGTGAAATACGACATGAAACACAGACGGAAATAAGGAGATCTAGGGTTATATCGAATCTTCCGCTCGCAGGGAATTTTTGTGGAAAGTATTCCAGGTCTAAATCGCTACCGCATCATTAGGAAAAATCTGAAAGTTGTTGCGAAAGCTGTATCCCCATGTAGACAATGTGATAAATCAAGTTCAGCACTTTGTGGACATTGCAAACTGAGTTTTGT